TGTAGCATATTGTATACATTGCGTTAAAATTTGCAGAAACAAGCACCATGCTTCGATTCATCATCGGTCTTGCCTGCGTGTGCGCCGCGTTCTCGGCGTCCCTGAATCTTCCACTGTGTGAGTTCCAGATGACGGAAGACGGTGACTATCTATGCTGTAATTACACCGTAGATGAGTCCGGTACTCCGTGTAGCTGCAAGCCCCCCGGATACCCCGAGGACAAGGTCATACCACGCTGTGGTACTCAGGATGCAGACCAAAGTAGATACTGTGAAATTAAAAAAGACATGTGCGGTATAAACAAACAATATAGCTGCTGCGACAAGGTCGGCGACTGCGAATGTCCGCCTAACGAATCAGGCATTTACTACTTGTGTAATAATTGCGTGCAAGTATTATAGAAATATAGAAAAAGGAAAAAAAATGGAAATGAACAGCCTAGAAAAAAATCATGGGTAAAATTAGAAACGCTGTAACGCTCATATCTGAAGTAGGTTTATGTCTTTCTTTTTATACCAAATACTGAACAGTAATTTATTAAATGTTAAATGTATATTGGCATGATGCAAGTGTAAGATTAAGCCCGGTTTAGAAACAGTTTATTTCTCGTTAGTACTGTGTATGTGCTGCCGAACAGATAGGTTGCGATAAAAAACTTAACTTAGTGATGCAGTACATATATATATGTATATATGTAAATACTATTTCGTAATGTTAAAGTATTGATAAATATTCGCACACGTGAACGAAGGAACTTTGAACTACTCGCCTGGTCTTGAACGCCATAACCATAAAGGCATATATATATATATGCAAACTGAAAAATTAAAGGCATTATTCTATCAAAAGCTGTCTAACGCACTAAGGTAACGGCACCAAGTTCAATTTTTACATCTGAAGGAGTCGCTTTAAAAATGGACACTCAGCGTCTTCCAGCTGACAAGTTTTTGACTCTTCCTTCTATACTCGACGTTATGGTACATGTGTCTACACAGAACAACTTGGCCTAAATCAGAAAACGTCATCCTGAATATGAAAGGCAGACTTCCACTGAAGGTTGTGCACCCACCAAAAACTAAATTGTGATAATTTAGAAGTATTGTAATACGCTATAGGAATTCATAAATCACTTTGGGGTTCTACAGGACACTTTTCAATGGCCCTACATTTACTTTTGAAAATCATTACAAAAACATGTTCAAAATACAGTATGACGATAGGCCCTATTACTTAAGAATGGCTAAAGTGCCGTTGTAAATATAACAAATCAATCGATTAGGATCCAAATGATACATCACTGTATTTTTATAAATAATAAAAATTATATGAGTGTACTTTGAAGTGTGTGTTGCGTTGTACTATTATATTTCGTTCTCTTTTCTTTTGTTTTTATTTCTTTAATTTCATGTTGGCAGAGAAGTTGTTTCAAACTCAGCCCACTGTCAGAAATACTGAGACGCGTCAAGTTTATTACCTGTGTTAGACATTTCTGTCTCTTTAATAGAATGTCCAGTGTCTAATTAACAGTCTAGTTTTGATTAAGTCTTGTAGTCTTTATTATCGTCCTAGTCTGCAGGTAAATGTCACCAAAAGGTTTATTTTGCTGTTATCCGCGAGTTAACTCTGCATTAGATACTACAGCTACCGCATGGGTGCTTTATGTGTGATGCATTCTTTCTATTCAAGCATGCACGTCAAGAATATGGACCCTAAAGTATGTGGTAGTTTTGCGCCTTTGTAACTTATTTCGTTTACTATTACGGACAAAAAGAATGACTGTCTTTTTAATTTTGCTTCATTCATAATAGGCTTCAAACCTAAAACAAAATGGGGGGGGGGGGAAGCTAACTCACAGACGTCTCCATGTTTTGTAATCCTTATCAGTTTTTTAGTAAATTAATGGGGAAAAGGTAATTGATGTACTGTACAGTGATATACTGATCTGTGCATGATTTTTTTTTCATTTCCCTTCTACGATAACCGTAAACGCTTTCTATATTTTTAGTGTCTGGATACCGTTATAACCGCAACTTACCGGGAGATGGTCTAACCAAAAACCACTGATTACTACTGATTTATATTTGACTCAAGATAAATCAGAAGTAGTCAAATTGTATGAAATACTGCGCCTATTTTATAGACTTTTGCTTCAGACCAATACAGGCTTTACTTCATTCAATAAAACTAGTGTGAATGTATCTTCAACTGAAAAGCACCGACCATCATTTGGACTTTAAACTTTTTTTTTTTTGTGAGCCTAATTTGTTGGTTTAGGGGTTGTTCGCAACTGATGGATGAGCAGTGTCACATTTTTACGAACATCATGTGCTGCACAACTACTACATTTGGCTGTTAAACGCAACATTGGTGAAATGGTATTTCGTTTTTATGTATCTTAAGGGGGTATTCCTTTAAATCCAGGACTCATGGTTTCCATCTTTAATAAACTATCCAACAGCATAGACAAAAAAGCAGTATTAATATGTAGAATTCTGCATCAACCATTACTAGCCTCCAAGTCAAGAAACTTCGCCTTAATATGAAGTCATTCTACATTCTACTCTAAAAATGTCTTGTGAGAAATGAATTGCTTTGTGATAAATCCGTTACTGGTTTTTCTCCAGTCATCTAATAATCATAAAATGGCGCAATTCCGAAATGTTCTCTGTCATTGGATTAAACGCTCGAACTAGACACAAAAGGTCTTTTTTTCAATTCATTCAGCACATCTTGTATGACGCTGCAGATATTTGCTCCAAGGTCATAAACACCCCCACCCCTTGCGAATTTGCAGTTGACAACAAGGAAATATTGCAATTAATACAAATATTTACGCTCTAGTTCAACTTTGTTGCAATATAGGAGGAATAAATAACGAAGGCATATGGAATTTATCCTTGGGAACATCCCGCCTCTTTAAAAAGATTTATGATACTGTGGATCAGTGGTAAAATATGAGAAGATGACACGATGGGGTGGGGGGGCTTATTGGCTAAATTTTTAATACTTTTCCTTGGAAATTTCGCAGCATAAAACACTGGTAAATATTATCAAAAAATAAAATTTTCATCTAAATCTACTTATTTTTTTTCGAATTTATTTACTGAAAATCCTTTTACCACTGCGAAGACATTTTTGGAAAAAATGGCAATATTTTTTTTCGAATTTATTTACTGAAAATTCTTTTACCACTGCGAAGACATTTTTGGAAAAAATGGCAATATTTGGATAATTTTGCCGTAATTTTAAATGCCTTAAATTATTTTTTTCCCACGTGGTTAAGACACAAGGGAGAAAAAAAAGGGGTCGACATTCCTCTCTTATTCATCTACCAATTGATTCTACTTTCATGTTATCCCACTTGAGCTTATTCTGAAACAACAGAGTCAAAAGTAAATTTTACCAATCTCTTGGAATAATTTCAACACCTAGATCAAATCATCATGCTGATTTATGAAAATAAGCAAGAGCAACAGGTAAGCATGACAAGCGGGGTGACACGTTTGTCTGTGACCCGCTCTCTCTTCAGCTGGCATTCCGACCTTAATAAATGTGACCTTATTAACTCAGAAAACCCAAACTAGCCAATATGATTAATTTTGAATAAATCAGGTCATTAAAATTGTGCCACTTATTATAAGTTCACAAGGTGCTGTTTCGAGGAGAAAGGTCAGCTTAAAGTGCCCATAGACTTTAGTTAAAGGAGGACAATGCTAGAGTCCACCAATTATGCAGTATAAAGGGCACCCTCTACGAGGGCCACAGGCAGAATTTTGGACCAGATAGTCAAAGATATATCCCTGGTTAATTCAGTGCATATTTTTGTACCGTCCAGCGAGAATCTTTGCACAGAGTTGCCGCCACCACTCACCTGACCCTTGTTGAGAGTACATAAAAAGTTAGTTACTTCAACCCAGGAGGGCATACGTGTACATCAAATATTATGGTATTGAAACATTAAACTTCCAAATTCAATACCTTACATCGCGAGATTAGGTATTTGTCATATGTTGCATTACATATATTTGACAACATGGGTGTTGAGATGGTGAAAAATGGGACTCATACAAGTAAACTGCAATAAAAGTAAAGATATGCCCTATTGGTTGTTATATCTCCATCATCAAACGATATTAATTTAATACAACAATGACAAAAATAGTGTATAGATTGATTGATTAGTATTTAGACTGTTTAAATAAAAATAGTAAAATCCCTTAAACAATCTAATGATTGATACGAATGGGATAAGGAGAGGGAAAGGGCGTCTATGAGAACAGATCGTCATTACAATTTCCCAAATAATCTACATTCAAGAATTGGTAATTCGTCTTATTTTTTTCCGTGTTAACATATGTGATGACGCAAAGAAAATGTAAACGAATTATTAAATCTAATATATTTTCATATTTTGATAAACAGACGTCACAGTCCGCTGAGGATGCTACCATGGCTAGCATGGGAGGGAAATGAATACAATATTAATGTCATCATCCCTTGATAGAAACGCCCAGTTAAGACACTGCTTGCGTCCGCTGGTGTGTTCCTACATGTATGTCTTTTAACGAAATAGTACCATACCAGTCACAAGCTGAGTCAACGGCGGCTTAACACTTACACTGAATAACAGAACAGCGACAGAAGATAAATAATAATATGATCATTCAAATAAAATAAATACATAACGAAGATTGCATTCTATGCTGCATTCCAATATTCTCTTCCGTCGTTTTCCCATGTTGTTTTCGAGTGATATTATAATGATTTACTGTGGTCCTTTCCTTTTATTAAAATGCAAGAAAACAGCAATCGGAAGCCTTCACCAAACCACAAATAACAATGAATAAAACATATTTCCTGACATTGTTTGTATGTTCTCCCTCACCTGGCTTGACAAATGATATTTTATGTGAAATGAGTATTTTCAAATAAATATTCAAAGTTGTTTTCATCCTTCGGTTTGTGGCATGGCTTTGACACGAAACTGATAAATTCAGACATGACAGCAGGTATGGGGTATTTGAGCAGATGGTTGTTACATAAACAGAAGTGAGAGAAAGAATGTACGCGTGTGTGTGTGTGTGTGTGTGTGTTTGTGTGTGTGTGTGTGATTGTGTTTGAGAGAGAGATAAGACAGAAAAAACACAGTTTGGATGAAAAGAGAAGACATCAGACTGGGAGAAGGGGAAGGTAACTTTATTTAATTTATCTCTCCATGTGCATACATTGAAAGTTGTCAAAGTGTAAAACATTCAATAAGAATCATACAGTAATTCTACAATGAATCAAAGACATTTATCAACACTTGTTGTTGACCAGAAGCATGGAACGATTTTTAAGATCGTTAATTATACCTTCTCTTGACTATTATGATAAAAACTTCCCTTTTAAACATCAACCAAGAAAAGTGAAATTCTTAACTCTAGTCCAAGGAAACGTGTGACATGCGCCAATGAAGTTTAAACGCCGAGATAAGGCGTAAATGACATGGTTAAACTGGATATATTAAATGTAGTTATACTGGTTATACTAGTTAACGGAATGTGTTGGCGTCTTTCCCCCTACTACAAAGCATGTTCATGAAAGTTTAAAAAGGCCAGACTTGATGACCTGTATAAAATCGCCATAGATATGGTGATTGGGCGTAAACAAGATGTCAAATGGAATAAATGAAGAAGAAGGCGTCTTCCGACGTCAGCAGAAAGCTTTTACAAGGTACCGACGTAAGGTAGAGTTCCATGTATCAAAAGGGTGAAAGAAAATAAAACGCTATAAATAATTTATCTCTAACTTTTTAATTTGATTTTAAGCAGACACCTTCTTAGAAATTGAAAAGCCCGTAACAAACTTTCTCCCTCACACCGCTTCTCTTTACCAGATGCCATTCTAGCAGTTTCTAACATTGCAAAACTAAGACCTTCGTCCAATTATTAAATAACAGCTAGCACTTCTGGTAGAGTACCCCCCCCCCCCTCCACACACACACACACACCGGAAAAATGGCAGTTAAAGGTAGGAGAGTCGTTTCATTTATAGTGGCTATTGTTAATTATTTCCATTGTTAATTACAACTTTTTTTACATTTGGCAAATCTCAGAGCTAATGGAATTTTGAATGATAAATCATATTTTCAGGAAAATTGTTATCAATTGAATCTTCGCTGAACAAAAAACAAATACTTTATACACTTTATTTCACTGGTGCGTAATAAATTATACATGGAAATAATAACTATGATATCATGACGACGAAACTCGGCATTCTGCAATAAATTGCGGTTGATTTAAATACATAAAAATTATTATGAATATACCGCAGCAAGACAGTTGAATAGAAATTATACAGTGCCGAGGTAACACGACAAATAGCTAAAGCTCGCTTTGAAATGCTTTCAGTTCGAACTACGTAGTAAATTCTAGCCTTATTAATGGTTGACGTCATAGGAGGTGTGATATGTAATATCTTATATTTTTTCACACAGCGTTAAAATTCAACTCAACTGGACGTGTATTAAACTTATGAAGAATGTTTCTCGTGAACAGCAAAAAGTTTGGGGAATGTGATTATCTTACCAATTCGTCTTTTTAATTTCGAAACACGTATTACACTGTTTATAAACACGTTACGAAAGTTCTGCTGTCTCCGACACGGGTTGTCTTACTCTCTGGCCAGTGGGTGCGCTAGTTGTCTGTTATTTTAATTTTGTTCACTATTTTAGAACAACTTTCATCAGAGAGTACGTTATCTTGTCCTCATTTAGCCAGAAAAAGTGATAGACATTTCTCCCCTGGGCTTGAGCCAACATCTGTTCTTTTTTTTTTAAGCAGAATTGATTATTTTTACGGAGAAATATTTCCCTCAATAACTGCGTGTGAAACATTTTACAAAATATATTTACTATAAAACAAAAATAAAACAAAATAGGAGAATAAAACGAGAAGGGTTAAAAGACAATTACCTTTACAAATATCTGAAATTCCCCTTCATTCTTTTAATAATGTCACAGAATGAAGAATACATAAATTCACGTCAAATTCTTGACATTTGAATTCATTTATTCTGTTTCAGATAATGATGGGCTAGTGTAGTCACAGTCAATAGCGACTAAGAGGCGTCCGTAAACTACCTATGTGCCACTTCCTGGGCCAAAATATGAATATTCTTATTTCATCTGACCTGACCTGGACACCGGCTACACCTATATATTGGCGGTCACATCGCCACCGGACAGAAGTTAAAGATATTTCTGTACTACTATATTGCTATACTGCTACAAGGACAGCTACAAGTCAAAGGGCCTCCGCCCTGTTAGTCGAAAGTGAATCAAGAAGCTAAAAGGTAAGATTTTCAGTGTACTGCAGTCCTCTCAAAGTTGTCTTAAGAAACTGGGGTCCGTTAAATGTTTTGCGCTCATGGTATTTCTATTTTGATTTGTCTTCAAAAAATAACCAGACTTATAACACAGCTTGCAAAAGTGAAAGGTATGGGATTCAGACGAATGTTGCGAAATACCACAGATTTAATTTACACGTAGTTTTGACACCGGACAATGACTAATGTGGTAAAACCTTACCTTCTATATTCATTAAAAAAAGAAAAAAAGAAAAACAATATTTAAACGCATTTTCTGCATCGTTTTCCATGTTCAGTCTTGTTTGTTTTGACATTTTTTCAAAAATTATGCATATTCAATGTTATAAACATTGCATATTATGCTCTGGTAGCCAATGACATAACCCACTTGATTTTTAACTAAGAAAATTCCTTTGCCTTAAAGTAAAATTTCATTCTGCCTAATATAGTTGTATTCTCTTAAATATAGTTAGATTAGATTATTTAGAATGATGTTTTGGTTAAAGCCACTTCATTTCTTTATTTATTTGTCAATTTTTTTATGCGGGAGAGAACAACGAGCAAATAAACAACAATATTATGTATTAAACCAAACATTTGCAGGAACAAACGCTCCACCATGCTCCGCCACCTGATCGTTATTGCCTGCGTCTGTGCGGCAATGGTGGCGTCGGAACAGCTCCCACAGTGCGAGTTCGATATGACAGAAGATGGCGACTATCTCTGCTGTAACTACGTGAAACACGAAGATACCCCCTGCAGCTGCAAGCCGTCAAACTTCCCGGAAGACAAACGCTTGCCAATCTGCGGTACCTTAGACGCAGCAAAGGACAAATACTGCAAAACCATACCGAATATGTGCGGGCCACGTAAATACTTCAGCTGCTGCGACCAAAAGGACGACTGCGAATGCCCACCCACCGAATCAGGCATTTACTTCATTTGTAACAACTGCCAAATAAAGTTTTGAAAATGAGCAAGAAGGACTTTAAAGAATTTATGCTCTTGGGGAATCTTTTATAACATTCTAACATGTAATTCGTTAATCCTTAAATGACAGTAAATACCTGTACTAACTTGTATTTTAAAATTTATAAATTTATTGTAACCTTGTTTACTACTGCAGTAGTCTTCACATACAATCAGAACAGGCAACCAGTTATTTTTACAAAATAATTAGGCCTATATAACCATCTAGTGCACGTGTCTTGATTTAGGAAAGTCCATTCGTTATTGCATATCACGGCAATTGGGTGAAATCACTCGAAAGGCGGAAATTATATTTGGGGTAGTATGGTAGTACCAGGGTGTATTCGTATATATCAATGTATATATTTGCCTTCTGTTCTTGTCTAAAAAATTGTGATCAATTTATATGCACTTATGAGAGGATAAACACCAAACCCCAGCCCTTTCCTCGAATTCAAAGGGAGTCCATGCCAACGAATACCAGAAGTTCTAGTTCTAAGTCATGCGAAACGACACTTTTTAAGAAACACTTTGTATGGCACATACTTTGTTACTTGAATTTAACTCCCAGTAGGTAACTTGTATTTACATGTATAATTGACATCTTGTAAACCACAACTAAGCACTCAAAAGGCTAGATGTACTCATCAAAATGTACTTAACTTGGGTCAATTCTCATAAAATACCAATAAAAGATAGTTAAATTGATTTACTACGTGTTTATTTAGCGTCGTCTGGTGTTTATTCCTCCATTATTTTACATATCTGTTGAAGTAAAGTTATTTTTAACAACTACTTGAGGTCAACCAACCGCTATTTTCCTTTTTGTTGGTCCTTCATTTTTAGTAAATGTTTCTCGAACGAGCTTTTTTAGAGTGCATGGGATGGAACGTATTAAAATGATATAGAAACTCTGACATCAAAATCCATATAAATCGCATATATGTTAAAGAACGTTATTAAACACACGTAATTTTGACGCAATATGATGAGAGAGAAAAAAAACACTCTAACATTTCAATGTCTATCTACATATAGTCTACCAGTTCATCTGGATAGCCTCATGTCTTGATGAAAATTTTCTAGATAGACATCGAAATATTGGAGGTAAACAATGATTTCAATTCTAGCTGTTGACAGAAGACAAAATAACAGCTTTATTTTTAGTACATAACAGCTGACGAAATTCTTCTCTGACATTACTATAGAAAAACAGTTTAAAGGAGGTGACCTTACAAGGTCTAATAGGTTCATTGGAACTGCAAATATTTACACATTAAAATTGTTGCCGTGATGAGTCCCTATTCTTCTTAGATGTGGTTTTCTTATGCAATATACATTAGAGCGCTTCAGTTGTAGTTCATGTCACACTCTGTTCACTCAAACAAAACAAACAATGGTGCTTGCCATATAGATGGTTATTATATAGGGGATGGTTAATAAATTTCATATCGGAAACAAGCCAAATTCATCAAAGTGTTGTTGTTATTGGAACTATTATGCACCTAATACGTGAAGCACACAGCGGCTTTTGAATCATTGGAATATCCATAAACGTGACATGTAGATAAGATGTAAAATAAAAAGGAAAACGAGCACAACTTTTACATAAGGAATGCAATGGTGCACGTACAATATAAGTAAACACGTCTTAACCCACCACTTTTTTGTCATCTGTAACAAAAATATATATTAAGTCATTTTAATAAAATTTCAAAACTTCTGTCTCTTTTGAGATTTTGATTTTTTGACTATCATTTGATTTCCTGGAAATTTCAACTTTACCTTAACCACGTTAGAAATATCATAATAACTGTTGAAAAAAATCATGATCCATAAATCCGCTTTTGTGTTCTAATCATTGTATCCCTTTAAAGATGAGGGGCAAAATCTGTCGGCACGCGTGACGTCATACGAGACTAAAATAAAACGAGAATCCGCGTGAGTTGGGGTTAACTATTCAGTGATAAGGGTGAAACTCTATGTGCCAGGAATGTTTTTCCTTGGAAAGTAATACAAAAATGACCTCCAAAACATGGCGAATTTGAAATATTTGGCAGTATACTGTAGTTTGAGAGAACCTAAGGGGAAACAATCAGAATTTTTTTATTCGGAATCGCACCGCACTTCTGCCGTTATTTCTTATCCCACTCTCCTCAAAATTCCGCAAAATTTCACTTAATTTAACGCTAAGTCAAATTGCTTTGGTGTATCTCGGATGATTTACGTTCGCGTGCTGTTACAGTGGTTTCCCATGGTGACCGTTAGTTATAGCAGCAGGCACTGTTGGTATTTGTAGATACTTGTCTCTGAATCCATAACTTTTAAACTGATCAAATTTTAACTGAGTGACAAGCTGCTGATTAACTATCACTTATTGACTGGCGGATCGAACTAAATTAACTAGCTGACTGAATTAGAGACAAATAAAGAAAAGGATTGAGTACATCAGTGACCAGCATGTGATCAGCAGCTCAGTCAGTCCTTGTTAAGGGCAATGATGTTAAAGTTTTAGGCCTGTATTTGGCCAAAGTTGACGCTGCTAGATAATATTTACCTGCTACTTTCACGATTTATAAAGACCCAACGTCTCATTATTGTTATCCTCCGTCAAGAAATTAATTTCAAAAGAAAAATTTAAATAATTTTGAACTTTTCTGGCTGAAATCATTGTTCTGCAAGTTGTAATGCACTGTAAATGTATCTCATTCTTAGAGACAGGGATTATTAACTCTCTTAATGGATTTCCAAGTTTTTCCACCCGCATATACATATCTAAGCCAAATCAGCACAAATTCTGCATGCATCCACGTCACAGCCCACGCAAATGATGTTTTTATGCAGTTTTAGAAAATAAACAGTTTAATGCAGTCACAGCCAATGGGGGCTCTGGACTTTGAGATATATCACATGCCACTGAAAGATTTAATTGGCCGCAACCACAGGTATATATTGCCATGTAAAGTGTTATTTGACTCCAACATCTAACACCTCTGCTTAGAACTAGCGAAAAAGAAACGAGAAAAAGAGAGCAAGAAATACAAAGGTAAAATATGTATTGGTATTTGATCAACATCATAAAGAAATTTAGGTTCTCATTGGAATACACATGAAGATGGCGCTCTCCTATTTTATAACTATTGAAACTTATATGGAAACTTCTTTTTTTAAACTCATATATCTACGATATGCACGTTTAATGTCTAGCGACATACCTGAAAGACAGTTATGTGTAATGTAAGAATAATGAAGCAGCAATTTGTATATTAGATTCAGGAATTCAGAAGGAGAGACTGTTTAGGTCGCTTAGTCCTGTACTCAAGTGCACGCAGAAAACAATGTTTATATATATATAAGGGCATAGAATACACACCTTACTTCAAATTTCTCAAAATCTGTTTAAAGATCTTTTTTTTTTAAACTTTAACTCAATACTGCTACTGCCTCTAGCAAATTCGAATCAGTAGATTTCATTACGCCCGTTTGGCGTTAATTTTTGGCGTTCCCTACAAAAAAATGATCTTACAAAATCCAGTCAGATTTTTAATGTGTTAAGGGCAGTACCATGAAGTTATATAAAGTAAATTAAATTAGAGTGAACAATATTTGAGTGACTAAAATCTGTGTTGGATTAGTCCTTTTACTTACCCGATGCACATATGGTATTGTATGGGATTATTTAAACATTTGCAGCAACAAGCAACATGGTTTGTCTCATCGTTTTTCTTACCTGTGTGTGCGCCACTCTCTCGGCGTCCTTGGATCTTCCGCTGTGCAAGTTCGATATGAAGGCAGAAGGGGGATACCTATGCTGCAATTACGTTAAAGATGATGAAGGAAAACCTTGTAACTGCAAACCCCCGGATTATCCAGAAGACAAGGACATACCGCGCTGCGATATCAAACCCGATGACAAAGATGTAGCGTGCGCAGTAATAAAAGATGTTTGCGGTACCGATGGCAGTAGTAGTTGCTGTGATAAGAAGGATGACTGTGTGTGTCCCACGGGAGAATCCGGCGCTTACTACCTTTGCCCTGGATGTGATCCGATCTTTTAAGAATAAATAAAAATTAGAAGCACATACTTTTGGAATCTCTCGGGCACTGTTGGCTACCTGATAATCGTCACATGATGCCAGTCGGTAAACAGTGTTTTTCTGTGTTTTACTGTGTGTGTGTGTGTGTTCAATACTTGGACCGATTTCACTGAAGAACCTTAGCTAGAAAATGGGTCTAAACTGTCATGCTAAAGTTTTGGTCTGATTTATAGTAATCATCTTGAATAGAGCTAGTATGGGACTGGAGTTTATTGGCCACGCCTTCCTTGATACATGACAAGCACAACGGCTTAAATCTAATTAAACTGACACTATTTTTTCTTGGAACAAAGTATACTAAATTTTGGTTTCAATTGTTTAGGCCATTTTTCAGGCTGAAGTTGTTTTGTGATGGGGGTCAGGTTATATCTGAGGGGGCCGTAGCAATAGTCCGAAGGTTCATTGGTCCGAATGTTCACTATAGAGCCTTCGGACCAATGAACCCTTGATTAAAAAATCGATGAAAATGTTACCGTTTTTCGGACAAATGAACCTTCGGACTATCGAGACGCCCCCGTTTGTTTCTGAAGATGCCGACCGGATCCGACGTAACACGAGAATTACCGACTCCAAGGTCTGCGATAAAACAAGGACGGATTGACATGTTCCAAACGGAACAAGATATATTTATTGAACGACTGCTTCCGCATGTGTATACATATTATGTCAGATATTGAAAAAAATGCACTCATCTTATTGTCTGTCTCAAATGGTGGGAGTGAGCAAAATGGTGCTGCTAGCTTAATGTCTACATTATTTTAATAATATAATGTAAAACTTACATTGATATTGTGCTATGGGCGTGGAAAATCATAAATATGATTTGATTATCTCAGAGTAACTTATGTTGCAAATATGCGGACCGAAGACGACTGATATCAATAAATAAATATTTTTATGACATGTGCATTGGTTTCTAATCTTTGATGTGGTTACTTAACATGAATTTGTAATCAACATTTTGAACTTGGGGCGGCGTAGCTGTTCATCAAAGTCGTTGTTGGTTTTTCCAATCTCCATCAAATACGCATTTAGGGAGACAGGTTGATAAACATTTGCACTTCAACAGCGTCTCTCGTGTTTTCTTCCAGTTGTCTAGCTTACCTTTAAAGCTACATGTACCTTTCATCTCTACTGCCTATTTGAGATATATAAGCGGAAACGCCCTATTCATTAACTACGATAATACCCTTCAATCCAACCGTAAACAAAGTGCCCTGTTGGCGTGCAGATATAAAATACAAGTCAATTAAAATATATAATTTTCTCATACAAATAAACTTCTGTAATCGGGCGCTTTGAGAAGAAATCTTAGGCGAAGGTCGACTAATTCTCCTATAGGAGGCGATTTCAAGGTGCACCTAAATCATACGTTTTACATAGAGAGAAATCTCCAACTCTAGAAACTAAAAAAAAATTTGTTTTAAACCTTATAATTATCTATTCATGTGCCTTTCATTACATAGGATTGCCATAATTTCTTCACTTTTGTATGAAAGTTCAACAAAATTAATTCCAGGACATAGATGCATACTTGTTAATTCATTTCAACTTATTATATAATTCATGAACAAAGAAAAAGTCACCTACTCATATTGATATCATAAATTTATTAAATCTATCAAAATTTAACAAAATTTTAAATTTGTGTAAACATATAATTTCTAAAGATAAATAATCTCTGACATCTTTGATATTTAAGAAACATTCATCAATAAAAACATAAGCAGCTACTTAACAGCCAAATAATGTTCTTATTAGATTTGTCTTACTAGGATAATAGAGTTTGACAAAAACTATAAAAATATATATTATCCCAATTAACAGAGGCAATTTAAGATGAAACATAAGGAGACAGAAAGTGCTCACTAAATAGGAGGCAGTCACCATTAAAATGAAGTGCAAGTGCTTAAATTAAGTTCAAATGGACCTTAATAATAATTAAGTGAATAATAACAATGGAAACATTACTTAAGGCCTGTTTCACAATTAAAATAATTATATAATAATAATGAGTAAATGAATTTTTTAAAAATCAAATCTAAATTTCTACAACCAGGTTCTGACATGGATAATTTTCTATATGTGTGAAGAGATCTATGTAATACTGGTCAGATTGCTTTAACCAATGCCATTACTGTACCTAAACTGAGAACACATATAACATTGTCATGACAACCATAATTTGCCCTATGGGCTACATTAAAGAAAGAGATATGTGGCCTTTCAGATCCTTCATTAAATGCAACATTAGTTTATTACATTATTTGAAAAGAGTTTAGACAGTCTTAACCAAGAGCAATTTTTGACATTTAAAGTAACAACAGTATTTAATTTAAGAGATAAATAGTCTGAAAGAAACAAAATGCTTGCCAGACCTTTGTATAGCAAACACTGAATTTTCCTTCAAATTTCACCAAATTTTCTTTATCACCAAGGTTTGTTTTACCCAAAGCTCAGAAAATTATAATTTCTATTTACCTTTTTTTAGTTCTAAATTACAAAATTCTTACAAAAGTAGTGCATCACAGATTATTCCATACCCAGGCCTTATAATTGGATTAGGCATTTGCAAACTCTAGCATCAGATTTGTGAGCAGGAATGACCAATTTAATGATTCAAGCCACAAATTAAGTGCCTAAACATATGACCACAGTGCTACAATACACAAACCTCTCTGTTCCTGTAGACTAATTTTACATTGGGCAGATATGAGCATAGGTTAAAAAAAAACTTTGAAAATTTACCGAATCTCAGATAAGGCGAATCTCAGGAACCACGAAAAATTGAATTTAAAAATACGGAATTCTGCGTTTCTGTTTGGGGTACTTAATTTGTGGCCTTAGTCTTTAATTTGGGCATACATATGTGCCCTCAAATTTAAGGCTCATGGTAACATGCAGCAAATATCATTTATGAGGTCTGATAGCTCAGGTTACCATCATAATAAGATAAATAAAGAGATATGATAGATACAGAGCCTGAAACATGTCAATTCTATCTGCAATATTGTTATGATTTTCATGTCTCTCTGTTGATACAGTTAAACATACATGTACTGGTACACTACCCAGCTAATGTTATAAATGATCTACTTCAGCCAATCTCTTACCAACATGGAACAATTGACTTTCTTCTGGTTGATGTTTTTGTTTTGGTGTTTCAACCCCTCAAATTACTTTTGATTTTTCCATATCACTTATTTTTGCAAAAAAAAAAAAAATATTACTTAAATAAAATCATTATATCAGATATAGTCAAAAATTCTACTTATAAGAGATCAAACATAATTGTGCAGCTATAAAAAAAGTTTTGCACATTAACAAAGTTTGCCCATGTGACTTATATTTGTTCACAGTTCTTTTCTGGATTATACCCAGGAGTTGTATGGATGATTATACATGTGACACATAGTGAGTCATATCAAGGTGTCTATCCTGCCAATGTCACCCAGACAGTTTTAGTCCAACTCGTGCCAAAACACAAAATACCATAAAATTGTCAAATGACTAATTTCTATTGTAACCCATTACATACCTTAAAAATTTATTTTCAATCAAAATGCCTTGAATGCAAAATACACTTTTTCTTGACGATGCAAGTCAGCAGCAGGCAAAAAATAAGTTTTAAACCAATGGCAGCTTAAAACTGCATCATAAGAGGCATATTATCTGGACTTTGCAATTAAAAAAGTTGTTATGTTATAAACACTACATTTGGGTTTTATGATAAAGGGATGCTCAAAATCAAAATTACAACTGTGTAATAAGTTACTTTAACTCATTTTATGAGACACACAGCAGTAATGTAGCCTCTAAGAAATTAGACAATGTGAAAAGTACAGGTTCATTTTTAACAAAAAAATTAATTGCACATACAATGAATTAAGAGACAGCACTGAATTCAATTTCTCACTTGCGATTCAACCTCATAGCCACACATCCAAATCGGCACCTCCCAAATGGCAGCGTGATGTTTGGGACTATTTTCCAAGTGTCGGTGTCCAAATCGTATTCTTCCACATTGGAGAAAAACGAGTTCTCCCCATCATGGCCGCTAAGTACGTATATTTTCCCATTGATTGTTGCAGCACCTGAAAAATGTTAACAACAACCCTCATTACCATTTTATACTTATTATCAATAGGCAACAAAAGGGTATGTCAGAAGGGAGTTTAAAGGAATTAACACAATACAAATCAAAATAATTTAATTATTGTAAGCACCCATGGTGATACCCTAAAAGTACAAAAAATAAAGGTATTTTCTCAACTGTGGCAATTGGACGGGGGCGTCTCGATAGTCCGAAGGTTCATTGGTCCAAAGGTTCATTGGTCCGAAAAGTGGTAACATTTTCATCGATTTTTTAATCAAGGGTTCATTGGTCCGAAGGTTCTATAGTGAACATTCGGACCAATGAACCTTCGGACTATTGAACCTTCGGACTATCGCTACGGCCCCAATTAAACATGACAGACCAACCCCAAATTTAGAATTCTTTTCATGAGACCAGTTTCTCAATTTATCTCTTTAAAGATCTGCTTTACTTTCACTTTAGTCTACTCAAGGATAATATTTTGTAACAATAATACATATCTCTTTTAATTTTCAGTGGACAAAAATAGTATTAACAAGGCAGCAAAGCTGTCAAATGTACAGACAAAAAGCAGAAAATAATAATGCACAAAATATAATACTGTCAATTCTGATGCAATAATACATTTTGTTTAACTGCAAAATCAACAAATTTTAATTCTGCACTACAGGTTATACTGATGGAAGTAAAATTTGTAAAAAGCATAAAGCTTCAGGCCCACGAGAGTTCAAGTTTATACTTTTAAAATGCCAGAATGACGAAAAGTAAACATTTCACAACAAATTGCATAGATTTCTAATTTTAGCTGTATGTCAATCCTTAGAATCATTCCTGTAAATAGAAAAAAATAAAAATAAGTGACAGTTTTCTTTACATAACTTTACATTTGTGGTGGCAGTGCACAAAGGAGGAATTTTTGTCAACTTTGATGCAATATTACATAATAATTAATGCTATAAATAACACCCATTTTCAAATATCTACTATAAATAACATGGACACTTAGGAATTTTGATTACCATTTGGCTTCATGCCCATGGGAGTTCTAATTCCCACAATGAAGATGCCAATAAGTGAAAAATGAAAATTTCACAAAATGTGTTACTTCCAGAAAAAGAAGTCAATAAGCTGCTTGTAACTCGAGCTGTATTTTACTCCCATGTTTCTTCTTTTGTAAGCTTGAGAATCAGAAGTAACAGTTTTTCCTTAATGGTCATCATGGCAGCAGTGTCCAAAATAGGGTTTTCCTTAATTTTGATGCAATTATTGCATAATGCTTAACAGCATTATCACCATCAATTTTTAACAACAAAATAAGTATCATGGATATTTAGAAAGCGTGACTAGCAAAGGTCTTCAAGCCCATGTAAGTTCAAACTCACTTTGGAAATGCTGATAAGTGAAAAATCAAATTTTCACAAAAAAAAAAAAAAAAAAAAAATGGTTTTCTAAATGAAGTTGTATTTCAGTCCTGCGTTTCTTTCCTTTAAGTTTGAGAAGAGTAAGTGACAGGGTTTTTCCTTAAATGGTCACTATGGCAACAGTGCCCAAAATAAGATTTTCTTCAATTTTGATGCAATATTACATAATGTAGAACAGCATAATGATCATCAATTTTTAATAATAAGGAACCTATTTAGCAGAAAATGTGACTAGCAAAGGTCTTCAAGTATATGGAAGTTCAAAATCACACCTTAAAAATGCAGATATGTGAAAAATTTAAAATTTCACAAAAACTGTATAACTTCCAGAAAAATAAACCATCATCTTTATATTGGTCCCATAAATCTTTTCTGTAATTTTAGGAAAAGTTCGTAACATTTTTTTTTTTAATTTTGATGGAAAAACCTTTTCTACACAAAAAAGGTACAACTTCATGAAAACTGAACCAATTAAGCTTACTTTTGAACTTGAATACAGCTGCTCTAGTATTGGGCTGGAGCATTGGCCACACCTTTCTTGATATATAACAAAATGCAATGGCTAAAATCTAAATAAACAAACAATTTTTTTGGGAACAAAGTACACTAAATTTTGGTTTCAATATTAAGGCCAGTTTTCTATTAGTAAGATTGATCACTCCTGTGTTTCAATCTGACACGCTTTTTATGCACAGACACATCTGTGTCTGTGCATAAAAAGCATGTCACAAAGCAAGAAAAGAAAGCAAACAAAAGGCTGTATAACTTATATTTCTCAATAATTAATTTTATTGTAGACAGAAAGAATATGGCTTTGTTTTATGATTCTACAATCAGTAATGTGTGCGCTATTTAATGTTCATTCTCCTGTATTACTGACAAAACAAGAAAAATGTTATTTAAACAAGCCAAGAAAGAGTTCTAAATAAATAACATGTCCTTTTTTTGTATAATTACTATAGGTAATAACATTTATTTTTTTGTACTACTACTATAACTATTTATGCCTGTACATTTTCACCAGCTCAGTCTGGGGTAGAAAGTATGAATAAAGCATATTATGTACAGGGGATAATATGGACTAACATCACACCTAGAGACATAAATGGAAAAGTTACTACCGCAATTATGAATAATTACCATTATCTAATGAAGCTACTTCTATCTGAAAAATGTCTCAATGTACACTTTCACATGATAACCCATTCCCCAAAGTCATTTGTGCCATAAAGTATACTGTAAGGCTGTACAATAGCCAGATGTGCTGTAAATAGTCCACCCCCAGGGCCCAGTATCATCAACACTGGGTAGTGCTAGCCTCTGAATGACACCGTCCATCAGATAAAACTGTTATCCTCTGGGCAATTATCCTGAGGGTAATGTAATGCTTACTAAACACTAGATACTTCTTATTGTCTCTGATGTTGCTTTCCAGTGGTTAAAAAAGGCTGCCGTCCTCGGGATAACTGTCCAGATATCTCAGTCTACGTAGTCAACTGATTGTTAAAGCAGACTTCAGTACTGTATTTAAATGTGTAGGCCTAATGTTGGAAAACTTTAAAACACTCATCATTGTACATATATGGTTTATAGAATTAATGTAACCTCCTTGTTTTTAATGTTTTCATGTGTTGTTATTGTATATATATATATATATATATATATATATATATATATGAAATGCAAGTCAAAGACAAATTCCCTGTCTTGGGCAAATAACATGATCTTACCTGATTTTAAGACCTTCAGTTTCAAGCATGCTTATTTCTATGTTACAAGTATATCTTTTTATCTAGTTATTTTCTATATAATGTGTTCCACATAGATGTTAGAAATGATCTTTACCTACCAATCTATTTACACTTTGCACTTCACATCATTCCATATTTTACAAAAAGAAATGTCGTCATCTTTCATTAGATTCACTTCCCATTTTTTTTGTACCATAAACTACTGACAAAAAGTTATTCATTTTTTGAAAGTTCTAGAGCACAAAATAAGTGATCCATTTTCAATAGGTACAGAATCAGATAGACCCAACTTGAAAGGAATCATAACTTTAAAATTACATTCCTGGCATATACATATTGTACATAAAAGGGTTATCTCCAGGGTAAACCACTTCTGGTGTAGGGAACACATTATTAGAATATGGAGCTCTACACGGCAGTTCAGGTTGCTGATTCCTGAATATGTTGTCAGAACTCTGATTAACATACGAGTTATCAGGGTGCTGACTACTGGATCCATTTTCTGAGAGGTGGCTCATAAAAGATCCAGCATCACTAGTGGTGTTTGGACTCTTTAACGTTTCATCAACATGCTGATTTTTGTGAACTTTAGCCAGATTTCTCAATTTGTCTCCAGATTTGACTGCTTTCTCTCCAGTGTGGGTTCTTTCATGTGCGTTACATTTTGCCTTCCTAATGAACCTCTTGTCACAGTACTGACACTGAAATGGTTTCTCTCCAGTGTGAGTTCTTTCATGTATAACACATGGCTGTTTATTAAGAAAACCTTTCCCGCAAAAAGAGCAAACATGTGGTTTAATTCCCATGTGATTCTTTACATGTTCTCTCCAATTTGCTCTCCTTACAAACCTCTTGTCACAGAAATCACATTTGAATGGTTTTTCTCCAGTGTGGAAACGTTCGTGTTCACTACGAGATAATCTGGTGGGGAAATGCTCCTCACAATACTGACATTTGAATGGCTTTTCGCCCGTGTGTTGTGTCCTTTCATGCGACAACAACGTCGACTTTTGGGCAAAGCTTTTAGTACAGTATTGACATAGAAATGGCTTCTCCCCAGTGTGGGTTCTTTCATGCTCATCCAGTTGGAAATTTGAGTGGAATTCCTTACAACACACGCCACATTTGAATGATTTTTCACCAGGTCTTCTGTGAGTTTTCATATGGTAGTCAAGTGACTTCTTTCCTATGCATGTTTTACCACACTTGGAACAGTCCATGGGTTTAAAGTTAACACTATGTTTGTACTCATGTTTAAGACATGCACTTTTTCTTGTAAAAGCTTTTTGACAGTGTTCACATTTAAAGGGTCTCTCACCAGTGTGAACTCTTTCATGTAAAATTTGCTCACTTACTCTATTGAATGTTTTATCACAATGTTGGCACTTATATGGTCTTATCTCCAAGCTGGTCTTCTTCTCACTTTCCTTAGCCTTAGCATTCACTTTTTTCACCGGAAATAAACCATGCTTTATCTTTTCATGCTTTACACGTGAATTATTTCTAATAAAGTCCAGGCCACACTGTCTGCATTTAAAAGGCCTTTCTCCAGTGTGAATCCGTTCATGTTCAATCCATGCATCCTTCCTGTCAAATGATCTGTCACAGTATTGGCACTGGTAAGGTCTTTGCACAGTGTGGGTACTTTCATGTTCCTCACAGTCTTTAGTGGTTGGGAAAGGTTTAAAGCAAACCTTACACTGGTATGGTCTGTCTATGTGCATCAGCTTTTCATGTTGATCGCAAGAATATTTCCTATAAAATTTTTTGTCACAATGCTGACATTTGAATGGTTTTTCTCCAGTATGTCTTCTCTCATGCACTCTCCAATCCTCTTTCTGTGTATATGTTTTATCGCAGTACTGACACTTAAAGCGTTTTTGTGAGGTAACATGTTCTCCAACAGAATCATCTTCATCTGCAGATTTAATGGCAATACTTTCATGCTTGATAAGCATATCAACATCTTTATCTGGATTGTGACCTTTATTCCCTTCATTATTCAATTGAAGTTCTTCTGAATCTGATTCCCCAGAATGATTGTCATCGTCATGTAATTGTACATGTAGCTGTGCATCGATGTGGAGAGCTATTATCTCCCTCTTCATGGTCTGATAAGACTTCATGAAATCTAGACACCTGCAACAGCAGACATCTGAATCATCTGGAGGTGAAAGTATTTTCAAAAGTTCACGAATTTCTTTTTCAATATCTGGACAAGAGGAGAGCTTTGTGTATTCACTCTTGATATTGTCTTTGGGTGGACCACATACCATACACTTGGGGATTTGTTTTGAATCTTTTCTTCTTGAATAAGCAGTCTCATTTGTGACTTGGAAAGATGCAGCAATAAATGATGCTTCTTCTTGACTTATACCTTCAACCTCTGAGCTAGTCTCTTGCTGACCTTCTTGTCCTTCTTCGTCGCTTTTTTCAAACCCGTTTCGATCATCCACATCTTCTTTTAAAATTCTTTTTTCTTCAGCTAAATACGTTCTTTGTCTCTGAACAAACATATTTATATAATCACCACCTAAAGAAGGAAGCTCCTTTTCATGGCCGATGGTTTCTTCACTTCTTACTTCATAAGGCGTAGTCATTATTGATTCCCTGGACTTCACTTCAGACAGTCCTTTGTTCATCGATAGAAATTTTTACAGGTTGCACAGCTGCATGATATGCGATGAGAGACCTCAGGTAATCAGAAACTTAGGATTTAACTAGTATCTTTCTTATCCAAAGGATCTTCAAAATAAAAATTTGATATCGAAGACAATGAACAGTTTTTGCAGCAAAAAGTACCGGCCGCTCGATCCCTGCTGGGCAAAATATTGATAATTGGACAAAAAGGAAAATCGCTAGTTTTCGATAATATAATGCGAATCTCTAGATACTTTTCCTATATTTTTTGCCTTTGAATAAAGATAATGATAAGCGATAATTAATTTGGAAATTATTATTCTTTTAACAGAACCACCGTAGGAAATTTTCCTAAGATCACAAAAGAGGTATATGGTAATCATTTTCAACTATAGGATTAGCTTATCTTGGCTAATTGAACTCATCATTTTCTGCCTTCACAGTTTTTCTAAGATATGCACAGCATAATAAAGCAAAGTACGCAAAGGGTAAGGAGGTCAAAGGGAGAGAGGCCACCAAAGACCCCCTTCGTTTTTTTAAACCACTCAGTCATAAGCACAGGAAGGCTTTGGGGGATACTCCCCTTATTTTCCTGAGTGCCCCACCCACCCTCCATACATATCCCCACCCCTCAATATTTGTTTTAAACACAGTTGCACCAAATGGAATCTTCACACAATCAGCTTAGATATTTAAAAATATCAGAAAGGACTTCATTTCGTTTCATTTTACTGAATACATTTAAAGGACTTATAGTTTCACAGATACACGTAAATGCTCCCTCCTGGCATTGAGAATAATATAGAAAGGCTGGTAATTACATGTATATAGAACTACATTGGAAACAAGCTGTTAAACTGAATGCAATCAGCGAGAGTCTCCAAAGAGTTGGTTTAATCTACTTAGACCAATAGTTTGGAATGAGATTAATGAGCCTGTACACAGACCTTTGACCTGCCCTATCAACCAAACTAAAATACATTAATTTAAAACCCTAATTTCACAACTACTGGCAATAAACGGTTGGGAAAATGTTAAAATATCCAGGAATTCACAAAAAAAAATTACAATTAATGACAACTAACAGAGGGTAAAGATTAAAGTTATTCATATTTATTCAAAACATATCAGTATAATGACGTCCATGATGTAATTTAATTTTTAATTACTAAATATCAGGTAAAATCAAAAGTGAATTTCTAGTCTTGAAAATCCTCCATAAATATTGGGTTTAAAGATGTTAACTTTAGGATTATTCTAATTCTTTCTGAAATCAGACAACATAAGTCATCAAAATCCATAGAAATATTAGATTGTGATTATTAATTGTGATTCTAATTAAGACTGTTCCCTTGAAAAATAGCTTATCTAAAGGTTTTTCTTATTCTTTTATGTATTTTTCAAAACATTGATTATTTTATAGGATATTAAAAACATTCATAACATACAACATTAATTGTTCATTACATATAGCCAAGTGCATTAGATATAAATATATCTTAATTATCAGAAAGTTATGAATTTTAATTAAAATGAATTATTTAGATTTATACCTCTTTAAGATGCATTTGAAGTCATATAAGCTCACCAAATTCCATCATAATGTTTCAAAAAGTGTGACTTAATATACCAAAATATTGTTTCATATAATACCCGCAAAATGACATTTGAACTACGTAATATGTTCTGCTAACACTGTGCTGTACACTACCGGAGCACACAAGTAGGTCAAATTTTGACCAAAAATTTAAAACAAGAGATAGCTGTACTGAAATGAGTTTATTTCTATTTCAACACGTACTTTTTTACATAGAACAAAATAATCAGTGTACTGTCATTTTGATACAATCAACTTAGAAGACACATCTGTGTCTGTACATAATAAAGGAAAGAACAAAGAAAATGAGAATCAATGGAAGCGATATAATTTTCAGTACCTTACATCCAGCATATGGATATAAATTTAATGATTTAATGAGATATGTGCATAAAGTGAAATTTGGGCACAAAACTGACCATTGTTTTTGCACCTACCTGCATCAATTAAACCTGGTCCCTGTCATAGGAGACAGCTGTGACCATTGCACCTACCTGCATCAAACTTGGTCTCTGTCATAGGAGACAGCTGTGACCATTGCACCTACCTGCATCAAACCTGGTCTCTGTCATAGGAGACAGCTGTGACCATTGCACCTACCTGCATCAAACCTGGTCTCTGTCATAGGAGACAGCTCTGACCATCGGTTCCTCTCAACATCATACAGACAGAGCTGACGACTGGCTGTTACCATGTCTGTTGTCCCACCCACTGCATACAACTGGTTTCGGGCCACCAACAATGCGCTAAGACAGGCAGGCTGCGGCATCGGGGCCAACTGTAGAGATAAGACTGATTAAATTATTTTTTTTAATAAAATGATGCTTCAGTATATACATGTAATATATCTAATAAGTTATCCATCAAAATTAACAGGTTTGGCAATTTAAAAACATGCCAATAAAACCAAATTGTATATAGATCATCAACAAGATGGAGACTACTTTTGGAAGTTGCTGCAGTAATTCATTGCTCTATCTGAATGACACCATCATTTCAGCCAAATCAATTTTAGTCTTTTTGGAAGTTTTTTCTAGGACAAACTTTCCTTACAATGGGCAAACTGAACTTAGTCATCTTTTTTTTTTTTTTGAATATTTGAGTCAAAATGATGACCCTGAAAATAAATTTAATTGCTGAACAAACAAACAAGGCCTCAAAAACACCTTTTACCTGCATTCAAATATGTGTAATTATCAAATATCAAGGCACAGAGTTTCAAAACTGGTATCATTATTTTTCATCTTTTATAATAAATCCATATAAAAGACCTATATCTATCTATCTATCTATCTATCTATCTATCTATCTATCTAAGATCTACCCACCGTCTCCCACTGGTCAATTCTGGGGTTATATCTCTGGAACATCTCAGTACATTGGTTACTGGGGTCAACTACACCTCCTGAATAAATAAATAAATAAATAAATAAATAAATAAATAAATATGGTTTCAACACACACACTGCATTTTATTACATGCATTTCTATTAAAACTGCGCATTTACTGTACCGGTAGTACTAACAAATGAACTGTACAAATGACATACAATTGTGACCAAAAATTTTTTTGTATAGTAATGCGTCTGACAAGTTTTGCAAAATATTAGTGGCTACTGTAAGTCACACTAATAGCAAAGTGAACAGCTACCTGCGACATACAAGAATCCATTGAAGCCCACAGCCTGACACCTGCTGACCGCCACACCCAGAGACTGGACAAATGACCAGGTGTTGGTCTCAGGACAGTATTTCTCCACTGTGTCCACTCTGGCTTGACCATCATAGCCTCCCAGGACATACATGACTCCATCTAGAGTTGTCATACCTGATACAATGACAAAGTGAATAATATTGGGGAATATCATTATCATATCATTATAATAGCATTAAAATAACATAGTATTCCCACCATTAAGTTGTCATGATACCTAGAGTGAAATAATGACAGAACTAGTGAATAACATTAGAAAATATCACTGTTATATCATCATCATATCATTATTTTAATATCTCCACCATCTACAGTTGTCATACCTAGAGATAAACAATGATACATTGAAGAATATTGGGAAATAGCATTATAATATGATTACCATATGATTATAATATCATTAAAGGTTGTCATACCTAGAGGGCAACAAAAATATGCTGAATAATATTAAGAATTATCATATTATAATAATTTTATCATATATCTACAGTGTACCAAAACCAATAAATCATTAACCAACAATTGATTTTGTGTATCAAGTTCTAATTTCATTATCTAGCTTTTTCCTCACTTGTGATCATCTAATATTTTGTCTTGAGAAATATCCTTATGTAACAGTAAATACTTACCGTGTCTTGCCCTGGGTGTATTCATGCTGGCCACCCTAATCCATTTATCCAGCACTTTCTCATATCTCAGCACATTATTCAGTACAACTTTGTCTTTGTTGAATCCACCTGAAACAGACAGTACCATACAGTAACAGTCAGGACTATAGTTATATTAAAGGGTTGGGATGGGTGAGGTAAAACAATAAATCAAATAAAAAATTTTAAATCACAAATACATGTAGATAAACAAATAATTAACAAAATTTGGCACCTGTGTTCTCTTTTTTTTTTTTTTATTTTGGATCCAATTTTGGGTCTGATGAAAAAAAAAGTAATTTGCCTTAAATCAAAAATATTAGTAAGATCTCCAAATCAAGTTATCATCATCATAACTCACCAGCAATGTAAACATGTTGATTGTCTGATAGCACTGCACTGTGATGACAGCGAGGGAATGGGAGCTCCTTCAACTTCCACCAGCGTCCTTCTTGAAAATCATAACAGTCCACGCAATTGAGGTAATTCTTGTTGAAGATTTCACCTCCGATTGTCATGATCATTTCAGTGGTTGCCATGCACTTTCTTGGCCTGATTCGTGGTGATTCCATTTCAAGTCTTCTGTCCTGAAATTATATGGGGAAAAAATAAACTCCAAATATTTATGCAGCAAGGGAAAGGATAACTTGCAGATTATGAAATTCTTACTTAGTGTAAATTTTAATTAGATTTATTTATAATCCCTGTACAGCAGTTAGTACCATACCATTCAATTGTTTCAGAAGTGGTTTCATTTGTTTAATTTTTCAACTAATCAATACCAACCACTCATTCCCTTACTTTCAAGATGAAAAACTTCAGGGCTTCATCTATGAGAGCTCTGCAATCTGGAGACAGGCGTAGAACAGATTCCTTCTCCATTTTATCAAACAGGAAGTAGGGACTGACCAATGGCAGACGGACATATTGAAGAACGTCTGCCAGCACTGCTGCCCTGGTGTCAGGTTCATGTTTCACCCAACTGAGAACAGCATCAAAGACAATCTCCTCATTTTCCACCTCCAATTCATCGCTGCTTATCAACTCAACCAATTTATTTTGGGGTAGAAGCAAAATTTCCTCATGGCGGGATACTTCTGTGAAGTGGCCTTCTGTGAACTGCTTGGCCTTTTCACTCAGCTTCAGGCACACATGTGCTTCAGCAAAACAATGAATCCCAAGACAATTACTGGGGTCCATTTCCTTCTCGAGGAACTTGCAGCAGGCCTCGCGAATTGACTGAATCTGGACCAAATTGGCAGCCGAAAGGAGCTGCTGAGCGTTTTCGCGGGTTATGGTTATACTGGCTGTGTAGGCATAATCTATCAACTGTTTCATAATGTTGGCACAAATCCCAGAGATGTTGATTCTCTTTTCAATACTTTCCTTCATGTCTCCTAGAAAATTATGAAGAATTCTTTTAAATCTCTCACTCTTTCTCTCAATTCTCTGGTATGCAATCATGAAGGCACTATATATGAAGATAGCAAAAAGAAGATCACCCTGACTAGATTCACAATTTTCTTTTCTGTGTTTTTGTTAATTTCAATCAAAGAAATCACTTAAGAGTACTCAAAAAGTTTTTGAATGCAATTATTTTTAGTTCTAATTAGTACAAATTATACTAATTAGCCCAAAAAACATTTCTGACAAATTAAAAAGTGCAGCAACCAATCCCTTTTACTTGAATAGTCTACGTACCAGTGAACATGGCCAGAAAGTAAGGCGAACAGGCAGCCAACACATTACGATGACAGGGAAAGTCTTGTCCATCAACGCAGATGATGACATCACACAGGATGCTCTGGGCGCGCTGATGATTTAATCCCTGCAGGAGAGCCAGAGCATGGGAGGTCTCAGAGAAATAATACTCATGGATGTAGCCTTCTTCAAATGAACCAAACAGTCCTAAAATTACAGCAAGATTTAACAATTATCTTTATTGGTACTAACACTTCTACATAACAGGTCACAGAGATTATACAAGTACAAGAACTTATCAATCACATAAATATCTTATTGTAATAATTTCTAGTATTTGAAAAATAATTCGAAACATAAATATTTAGAGAATTGGGATACAGTGTAATACTTGAAAACATTTGAAAATTCAAAGTAAAAGAAAAATTTGTAACAGGGTATTTTTGAAAATAACTTAGATGACTTTGAGAATTGGAAAGGAAGACAAGTTACATGGAGGTTTATACCAGTGCATCAAATCACCTGGGAGGCTTTCCAAAGCCATGACTTCTTCAGTTGGTGGTTCTTGTCCAGAGTTTGGCATCACAATGGTTCACAAGAAATATGGCTGGGAGGTACATAAACCATGAGAGCCATACAATGTACAGTGTGGTAGACGTCAAAAGGGGAAAATGCAGTTCAGTCCGTCTCTACTGTTAGTCCTGGCCACAGTTTGTGTACAAGAATCACAATTATAGGTGTTTAAGACAAGTGTTCATGCAGTTTCTGATTTATGCCTCAAATGACTCAATCCTGTCTGACAGAGCACTATATGGTTCAAGCCAGCAGTACTGTATGGCACTTGCAGCCTGTGGGGTGGAAGATTTGACTGTCAAGGCTGGGTGTGACTCCATACACATAGGTACCTGTATGCATTTCACTGAAAAAGACAGAAAAATAAAGAAATTGTCATCTTCATTTGCTTTAACACAATTATATTACCTGCTACGTTCCAAACAGATCTTTGGGATATACAAGTATGTTCCTGACCACCATTTTCTTCTACAGTAAAAAAGCTAACAAAGAGATTCAGGTAATTTCAGCAGCGATAACAACAGCAAGAATCATGACCATTTTTGTTCTAACACCAGCTGTTGGTACACACCCAATAGGTGGTATCGCCTCTCTGATCCTCTAGTACTGGGTAGTGACAAACCAATCCTTCAGGATATATGCTCCAGACTCCCATTTCTCATCGACAGTGAAAATCATTCAGGTAAAGTCAACTGTGCTAACAGAAGGTAGTTCTGCTCTCAAATTTCTGAAACTGCTTGCCAAGACTGTGCAGCTTTCATCTGGGTCCAATTATCAATTTATCACAGAACTGGTTTCCAAAATCTTGTGCTAAATCTCTCAGAAAAAGAACATTTTTCAAACATTAGACTTGTGATGTTCAGTTTAGTAGAAGCCTAGTGACTTAACTCTATTAGTATTTCTATATTTAGGGACAGACTTACATAAGATTAATGTGTAATGCTGATTATACAAAAAGTCAAAATCTCCCAGAAAAATAACACTTTTCTGACATAAGATAAACTTGTGAGGCCAAGTGCATACAAGAAGCCAGAATCTCTGAGAAAAGTAACAATTTATGACATAAGATAAAATTGTGAGGCCAAGTTTACAAGAAGCCAGAATCTCTGAGAAAAGTAACAATTTCTGACAAAAGATAAACTTGTGATGTTGAGTTAATTTACAAGAAGCTGAGGAGCTTTCCATGGTGACTCAACTCTGTTTTGATATTTAAAGCCATTTACCAAACTGGAAGAAACCAGTCTTGTGGTTTTCCTGCCAGGTACACCTTTCAGAGGACACTGGAAACTCACATCTCTACAACCATTTCCAATCAGAGACCCTAGCCAGCAATATCAAAATGGGTTCTTTTTCCAAAAAGAAAAATGTGTCTTTTCATACCTTAAATCAACCTAAGATATGAAAATGCATAGAACCTGGATCAAATTTAGATTCAGAGTGGACACTTTCTGACTGGTTCTTTTGATACCCCCAAACTTGCCTGTCTACAGTCTTATATATGGTGCATGTACAGTATACATGTATATACAGTACCTCTGCCCTTCCCACCCACATTTCCCTAGATGTGATTTCTATGTGATTTGACATACACATATGCTCTTTGACCATTTGTTACTGTCCTCTTTTCTGACGTTTACCACCCTTTTTGCCTCATGCTTACAACAACAATTTTCAACTGATGGTAAACATTCCCACCAGTTTGTCAAAATACATCATTTTAGGATTTCTTTTGCTGGAAACGTTTGCTAGAAAACTTGAACTTTACCAAAAAAAAGTTGGATTGGGCTCAACACCCATGCAAGTCAAGTTTGGCAGAAATTACAGCTTCAAACAACTCAAAGGTAAAAAAAGACTGCTCCAGGCTGAAATTTTTGCAGATAACCTTTGGAACATAGCCTGGTGATGCAATATATTGATTTTAGTTAGTAGCAAATCATTTTTGATTAATTGCTTCCTGTGGTTTACTAACAAAGTTCAGCAATGTGCCATAACACAGATAAAAAACCACACCTATACTCATTTCATATTACATTTGCTCTGCTCAATGTCAATATAAGGAAGTCTAAGACACAAAACTGTTCCCCATTCTATATAACTGTATATCTGAATCAAATAAAGCTATCCAACTTGGCATTAAAAATAATAAATATATTTTTTCTTACAGACTAGTCAGGAATCTAACCCTACCATTACACAGAACAGGTAAAACAGTTTTTGCTCAAAGAAATTCAAGGAGTTTATTTATTTTGGCACCCCTTTGTTCCCTTGGGCTGTTTCTACGACCAGAACACTGTCTGGGTTGTAAATCAATTTTGTCCTTGTTGCACACATACCTCAGTGCAAAGTGCCAGGTAAAATAAGAATCACATGACTCATTAGACGTGTTTTAGACAACTTTGCCTCCCGTCTGGCACCAGTTGCCACATTGTCTGCAGTCACTTGGTTCCAAAGAAATGTTCCAAATATAAACTGGGATACAAAAATCCCTAACATCTCAAAATTGCCAATTACCTTCATAATAATGTTCCAAATATAAATTTCAAAACCCATGCCATTCTCCAACACCTTTTCACTTTCAGTCACCAGGTAGACAAATCTAATCATATAACCCCAAAGTATAAGCCAATTACATCAAAATTCTGAGCCAAAGCATGAAATAATGTAATACATTTGAATTAATCAGTCAGTGGAGGTAGTTCTATGCATGAGGCAGAAGTATTTGTTTAATAAATACAGTAATGGTGCATGTGATGTTACTTATGTGCACCCGGAGTTTCAGTTGACACAAGAAACTCACCTCTCTACTGTCTTAACTGTCCAGGCATACTGAGAGTAGAGTGGCAAGTTTCCAGTACCCTCTCAAACTCAGGGTTATTAATAGGGTGTTCCTAAAATAGATTTCAAAACCGTATCTCCTAAAGTGATTTTTCTCCAAAACAAACACTTATGGGCTTTCTCACTTATGGGCGCCACTCAACAAATCTCTTCACATGTAAGCTATCCTCTGATGACCTCCATGAACTTGACCATGATGTCAACAAGCTATGGTAGTGCAGCATTTCAGGCAGAGGTTACTTGTTTTTTTGTTTTATTAGCAACAAATGATTCTTATGGATGCATTCCTCTGAAGCAAATATGTTCTTGACCATCTTCAGTTATTCCCATTCTTGTTGTTCTCATTCTTTTCTTTTCTCTTTTTTCTGCTTTAGTGAGCTGGATTAAACCTTTTAGGCCCAACAATAAAAATTCAAAAGCTAATATTGATTTTTTCAGTAATTAAGCAACATGAAACAATCCCTTCAATAGGAAAAAAAAAATTAAAAGGCATCCATCTTTCTGTAGATCAATTTTGCACAAACAAATATGCAGACAGCTTAAACTTATTAGATCTAATTGAGTGTTTTCAGGTACAAGTGGCATTTAAACTTTTAATCAGGCCAAAGAACATGTTGCATATAAGAAATATAGAATGCTGTATGGAATTATAACTATCTTTCTATACAAACTACAAGTCAAGAGCTCTCAGTATTTGTTGTAAATATTAATCTTAAAAATACATTTTACAAAACAGATGAAACTTTAAGACAGGCATAAAATCAATTTGGATTTTTCTCATCATTTAAAAATTGCAAAGGTGCATGAAAAAGTATATATTTTACAGTACAACACCAAACTAAATAAACTGGAGTGTTTTGCACAATGAAATTAAACATTTTAAAGGTACAATTTACATAAAAACCAAACAAGTAAGTCACTGTTATGTCTGATTGTGGATTTTTCACTTCCCAAACACTCAGCTGTGCATTTGGTGAGCAGCATAACCTTATTTCCTGGAATCCAGCCAAACAAAACAATTCACAGAATCTGAACAAAGAAAATAGCAAAACAGTCCTATCATATGCTGTTCATACATTTTCACTATATCTTTCACCAGCAAATTCATCAGGTCTGAAGTAAAAACTCAAGGAAATAATGATATCTTTTTATAGAATTTCTCACATGCATAGATATTCTATTTTGTGGTAATGTAGGAACCAATCAACACAAAAGTAAACAAAAATTACAACACCTTACACTTACTACTGGGGATTACGTTCAACCCAAATTAAATGTCAAAGAATGGTTAGAGTAATCCATTCATTCAGCCCTGTATCTAATTCACAAGCTGCTTCATCTTCACAAACTACGGTCTACAAGTATGTTGTACATGTGACAGGCACATTTCACATAATTTTTGACCAGTTCATCTAAGAAAACAACATTTCAATATAAAGCAAATCAATTGCATGGACAAATGAGAAAAGTGACTACATGTATGACTAATAATATACAATCTTGACTGCATACAAAACCATATTAAACAAGTCTAAGAACAGTTTACAACTGAACATTTCATCCGAGTATTTTAGTGCTATTTACAAATTGGTCATAAAGCTGTGATCATTGCATATCTAAAATCTTTACATTTCACCACAAATTTGCCTGTGACAAAACATTATAAAATGAGCAATTATAAATATATATGTATACATGTATATCACCCTTCTACTAAGAGACTTCATATGCTACTGTATCTAGTCAAATACTGCTGTGTAATTTACCTATCTCCCACAGCTTCCAACACAAAGTAGGTCCAAACCCCGTCTGAAACAATAAACAACTGAAAACATCTTCTTGCTATCAGCTGACTTTATACCTACAGCCCATCTGAATTATCCAGATTTCCTGCCAAACAATTTTCAAGCTTAAAAACACAGGACAAGGGCTTCTGAGTATTTTCCTCTGCCCCAAGAAGTATAAATATGGCTTATACAAACAGGATGGTGTGTATACAGTTATTGGGTCTGGATTTTGATGATCATTACAGTATTAGTCATTACTGCCGAACTGCTGCCAACATTTGGAAATTGAAATGTCTGAAAACTCATACTAGCACATACATCAAGTCACTGTAACCTTGATAAGGAGGAAGATTGGGGTGAGGGGTAGAGATCGCCACAAAAAATTAATGAATTGCCTCTGAACTTTTACTTGAAATATCGGTATATTATGTAACATACTTTTAGCGCAGGATACAGGGCTTGCTATTTTGTACCAGGATAATTCAGGTGTATCAAAAAATTTACCTTATAATTATGTGCATGTGTTCTTGCTTGGGTTTTTATGCCATCATTACTAGTGCTGTAGCCCTGGTCTACTAGCATTTTTTTCAAAAATGGTTTTCCACTGGAACTGCTACTACCTCATAGTTAAAACATCAAGACCATTAATGAGTCAGTACATTGGGTTTGTGCCAGTTCACAAGATAACTGATGATCATTACCAGGATAGATGTTCATTACCAGGATGTGTACGTATGTAAACATACAAGACTAGTACTGGGTACTAGTAAAATGTATACTGTATATGTACAGTAATACCAGTGCAGTCGGATTTGATAATAATAATGTTTAATAATGTTTTGATCTTTGCAAGCCTTGGTAGACAATATGTTCCATTTGGACTTGAACAGTGAAATTTTACATCGATGGCAAAATGATGCTTTCAAAAAATTTTTTAAATAAATTCCAGCAAAACTGGGCACTGCAGTTTTAGCAGTTTATTTTTAGACACCCACTTGTTGTGGACACATTTAGAGTTACAGTGAACTGAAGATGACTCTGGTAAGTCAACTCCATGTTGCTAACAGATATTCGTAGGCAGCGATGTCTTTTATGTCTGAAGCTTCGTGTATGGATGTGGCAAATAGGGAATGTCATGCAACTGACAACAGCATAGTAAATCCTGAGACCAGTACATACACTGTACTAGTATGTATTCCAACGGGAATGAAAGATATATTCAGTATACGCTTTTACGCTGCTGTTGAAAATACAAAAACTACCTGCGTAGTCTATTATTTCTAAACTACATGATAACATACCTATCTGACCTTTAACTAACCCACAGATCGGCAATTTGCCATTTTTCAGACTTCACAACAAATGCACGTGCCAATGTTTTGGTACAAATCCAAGCGTTGAATTGTGGGTAATTGGGACAAAACATTTAGCACGATTGAACTAAGGGCTACTAACGACGTAACTTTATCACTAACGAGAACACTTTAGATTTACAATTTCCGAATGCATGTTTCACGAAGCTACCGTCAAGTTAACCTATCACCTCCTTCTCTCGTCAGCGTTCAATATCTGTCTACCGGAAGTGACGCTGTGTAAAAATGTCTTAACTCTCTAATGTTTGGAGGCTGTAACCGCACAGGAACGTCTGCTTTTGTGTTTGTAAACAAATTGATGAGATGAAGAGAGCTCGATCCTTTTATTTTATTTTTCTACAACTCAGTAGCTCGAAACCTTAGTATATGGTGTGACTGGAAAAAGAGATTTCCTTTTTTCAAAGTTCTACAACAATGTTACCAAAAATTTAAAGGATCAAGTGTGGGACAACATAAAGAACCTAAGAGTTAATTAGATGCACGGCCAACATTTATATGTAAACTCGTATGTGATTGACAACTTGTAACTATAACACTGACAGCATTAAGGGAGGCATTCTTTAAATTGTTTCATTTTGGATTTTTTGTATACCTCATTTTTAAATTACCTCATTAAAATAAAAAAAACCCACAAAACAAAATGTAAAATTAAAAAAAAAAAAAAAAAAACACAAAACAAAATGTTACAACATAAGTATTTATTCACATCCATATTTATTCTGATTACTCATCATTTTCCAATTAATTCATGTGTATGTATGCCTGGCAATACTACAGTCCATTCAATTCAAGGCATACATATGAGACCATTACACAGTAAATAATTTGGGGAAAATTTCAGCATTTCTCTTTAATCACCACAGCCTACTAAATCTTAAACTGTTGAGAAAATTACGAGAGGGACTCGATACCCAGAAACCCACACCTGTTGTACACTGGAGTGATTACTGTGAAAGCGAAATTTCCAAAAAAAGTAAAAGCTCAGCGTATGCCAGTCAATCCATCTGTACATTAGTTATTATCAAACTATACAATACATCTTAACAGAAAATATACACCAAATAAACAAAATATTTACAAACATGTATGAAATATTATCTGTACACCAAATCCATGTGCTTTCCGTATATAGAAGAAGACAGAATGAAAATACAACAAATGTAAATAAAAATAATATCTGTTGAGCAATAGGTAGTCACTCTCAAATTAACATACCAGGAGGATAATACAAGTTCATCACATTAAGTAAGTTTTGATCTGTGATGACATATTTTTCTAAGTGCAATAAACAATATCAGAAAAAAAGGGTCTAATATTAGCAGATTGACAACATAAAGTTGTGTGTTGAATCAAGTGAAGCAATGACACACATCATGATGCCATCGTGGTAAAAAACATGCTTGTTCAGAAGATGAAAAACATGATAATTATAGTTAGGCAATGAAACAAAGAAAACAACTACTTCAGATATCAGGAATGTTGATTTTGTCCAAGGTTATTCAGAGCTGAAAATTGTAGCAAATGAATTCTAAAAGAATGTGTAGAAAAATCAAGGTGACTCGATAGAAAGAGATTAGACAAGTTACTAAAACTGAAAACCAAAACACTATTTTTAACATAATAGAAATAAACAAGCAAACAAATACACACATTTCTTTATATTAAATTAATGTTTCCTTACTGGCTTAAGTATAAATAGTCACGTGATGTACCAAACAGCTTTGTCCACAGTTAGCTATGAGGTGAACATTCTTGGAAGTTTCTAGTTTAACAGTCTCAATTCAGGCCATTTGTCTATGAATTTGTATGTCAACTTTGCCATTTCATCAAAGTGCTATCTAGAATTCCTAAACTTACGACAATTTGCTAGTTCTAGTTCTCTACATATAACAAACACAAAGACAGCTGTTTCTGCATGCTCTTTGCTCAAACGTCGACTTCCGTACTTTTTGCTAATAAATATTTGATCGAATTTACCTTCTCTTCACTATTCTTTTCAAGTAACCTTGAATATCAAAGCTCAAGAATACTCCATTTGGTTTTGAGGTAATAAAGCACCGTGAGCTAAAAACCAGTTGGCTATTCAAGAGTCTAAACTAATTAAATAGAATGGAAGCAGGATCTTGGTTTTCTAGCTGTAAAATATGACGTAGAACATCTTTTTTGGTGATTATTCCCAGGAGTTTCCTAGAAAGAACAATGTATATTTATAGTAATAATAACTTTTACTGCATTTAGATGTTTACATTAGTCGAAAGTATTGTTCCTATAATTTATCTTTTAGTTAAATATACATAAACAGTCATTTGCATCTTACCTAAATTATAACCAAATATTAAGGTACCAATTCCTTTTTCAAGTCTTTGAACAGTTTATCCAAGACTACAATAACCATTCTTCAGCTGAAACTATAGATTAGCACAGAAATAATAGCACACATTGTCTTGGAAAGCTGTGTCAGCCAGCCACTTACCCGTTATGTGTGACCAAAGTTTGCCTCAAGCCCAGTTTCCTGTACATGTCAACCACCGTCTCCATAGGGGTCTGGTCTGTTATAGTAATAGGAGCCTGCGGAAAGAAACAAGGTCATGAGGTCAAGGTCATGATAGTTCAAGGCCAATCAATGACCTCAATCTTAGAATTCAAGGTCAATTACCAACAACAAATGGCAGGACTCGATTTAAAAGCCAGACAAATAGGCCTGCAGTTACGAAACTTGTACCAGCCCAAAGGATTTTATTTAGCTGGAAAAACTGTCAATCTAAAATGGCAGCTCTTATCATTGCTGCCATTTCCTTGGACCAACTCAATTTTTCACCAGTTCTTGAAAGTAAAATCAGTCTTGACCACTAGGACCAACAGTTTCAGCATGTCTGTTATAGACCTCTCAGAGACATTTTGTGCACTACTTTACCTTTATAAACCCTTACCAGATCTAATATCTTCCTCAGTTTCACAGGGGGTGGTCCCCCCACCACCACATTCTCTGTGTAATGCTGGGTGAAATACACCACAGAGGCCGCCACCACCCCGTCCTGGGTATTAATAGCATTATCTGAAAGATTATATTTGAAAATCATGAAATTATTGCACTTCTACTTGTATTAATTACACAAAATAACATTCAAGAAGTTCAGTAAACAAGTTATCTGATAAAAAGAATTAGTTTTTATAGGGGTTTATAGATCTGATAATAACAGTTGTGTGTGATTAGTTCTTAGGCGACTTTGAAGGAGGATGTAATGTCCTCTATGAGTGGACAGAAATCAGTCATGTATGGGGATAAACAGCACTTACTGATGGCTAGAGTTAAATCTTTTCTGTTGACAAAACCAACCAAGTATGGGGACTCATTGCTGACCACCACTGGGAAACCATTGTGATCACATTCTCTGAGGAGAGTTTCTGTGGAAAAAATAGCACAATATATTTATGTTCGAAGACTCATAATGATATCATCCAAGTTATAATAATATCAAATTAAAATAATAATGATTTAAGATAACTGACAAAAATAACATTAAGAATTAATAAACATTAAATCAAAACAGTATTATGGTCTTCACTTCTGCAGCATTATCAACAATAAGTCACCAAATAAGTTATAATGAGCACTGCAGTTACATTTACTTGCCATTCATATCAATTCATGTCAGCAAACTTAAATCACAAGGCTCAAAACATATCAGAGAATTTTATAACTAAGATATATCTGTCCTCCGTACCTACGTCATCCACAGTGAAGGTATCTTGAGTAATGACACTAAGAGGAGGGTCACTCCGTCTGTAACAAACATAGTAAGATACATGATATATCAGAGCTGATTATTAGCCACCTCCGATTGAGAGATAACTGAAAGTTTTCTACAAATACAAGTACATGAGATCGTGTTAGTTGAGATCGTAGTACATGAGATTGTGTTAGTTGAGATTGCAGTATGTGAGATAGTGTTGGTTGAGATTGCAATACATGAGATTGTGTTAGTTGAGATTATTTCAGAGGCACTCACTCACCTAGGTCTCATCACATCTGCAGCAATGGTGGTGTGTTCAAACTCCAACTTGCTGTCTAGGAATGGGTAGCCGTTCAGCTGTATATGAGCATCATAGCTGACACAGGTGTTAAGGTAAACTACTCTGATGTCCAACAGATAGTAATCAAACTACACCATACTTAAATTTTATCTGATAAAAACGCTCAGATATCTACATAATTGCATTCATGATGAATGATACCATGTCACCCAAAGGACAATAATCTATCAGAACCTATCATTTAAGATTTGTTAGAATATATACAGTGCATAACACACATCAAAATTAAATGCCGATACTTAATTTCAAGTCTCTTGATATCATTTTACATTGCTTTCAATTCCCCACTTTACAGCTTTAGTTTTGGACTCATAATATGGTTATATTTTTGCTTTTTGTGGATACCCTAGACAAATTAGTCAAAACATATAACACACATACACACACACATTACAGTATACAATGCCCAAGGATACATGCCCTGTTTGATAAATGCATCTCCCACCCACTTACTGGTCATCACAGTGACCATGAGGGGGACAATGTACTGGAGACCACCGGTCAGTTCAAACATGATCACCACTAGGGACACTGGAACAAAACATATACACGGTACTCATTAATATGTCATATAATTAAGTGCAAAAGCTGGGAAGACTTACTGACCTTACTAAAAATATGAAATGAGAAAATAAATTGGGTAATATCCAACAGTTTCTAATTAAAGTCATTAAAAAACTATTTTTCATTATTACAAAAAGGGCAAATACATGCTAAGAGAGAGAGAGAGAGAGAGAGAGAGAGAGGATGGAGGAGAGTGGGGGTGGGGAGGGGTAAGCATACCAGTCATCCTTGTGACACCACCCAGTGCTGCAGCTGCTCCAATCATAGCATACATGGCTGGGTTGACACACTGACCATTGACTGTACATAAATCTGAAAATATGGGGGCATCCCTCCATCTCCTAAAATGTAAGACAAAATGGTTATCTTTGTAATAACTAGTGATTTAACATCAGTACGGGAATACATTTAGATCTCTTAAGTAATTTGATATTCATATCATTACAATATGGATTAGCAATCTTGTGGACAAATTTTCCATAGAAAAAAATCTTCACATATTTTAGATATTTCTTATCAAGTATGTCACTTACACAGCCAACTGTTCCATTCCTATTCCAATTATACGCCCCATTATTGCACCCACCGCCATACTGGGAATAAACAGACCCGCTGGTACCTGACAAATACATAGGTAAAAATGGGACCATAAAGATCTACAACTCCTGATCTTCTTTAATTTTTTTATTTTCTAAGGTTTTCAAATTATACCAATTTATTACAAAAATATAAAACTTAATAATAATATCAGTAATAATAATAAGATGATGAAATAATTTAAATAGGTAATAATGCCTTCCAAATTCATAAAGAAATGCTCACCTTAATCCCAAAGGTAAATATAGTTATAATAGCTTTGAACACAAGGGCCAAGGCCAACATCCACAGAGCTCTGGTAATACCAGCTCCTGCCACTGCTCCACCAAGATTATCACTGACATTGAGTACTGACTGGTCTGTGTAGTCACTGAAATGGAGAATTAGCTACTTTATAATTAAAACTATATGTAACTTGTAAGGGCTCATTTGGAAGATTCTATAAGTGGCCCCAAGACGGGCAAAAGGCATAAGTTAGTAAGTTAGAACTCGTTACTTTGTCACATCAAATGTTATATCTCTAAAATATTTTACTATACATTACTCTTTATAAAGCAAATAATGGTATCAAAAATAACATTATTTTCTAAATTTCTTGTTTGGTTTTCTAAGTAAGACTTAGAAATTGTTCAAACAAACAGCATATTCCTCACACTTGATATTAGTTTGACATGCTTGCTTTGGCAAAACAAATTCAGATTTAAATTTAAATTTTAGCATCAGTACTAAGAATTCATTGGTAATAGTTGATCATACCATAAGTCATTGTTGAAATCTTCCACTCCACACTGCTGAACCAGCATTCTAATCAGCTCACTGGTGTTCATTCTGGAACATTTCAATTATCACTATTATCATATTACTAAATACATTCTAGTACATCTTACATAATGCTGCTTTATTCATACTTTCGGCACCAGACTGAGCTGGTGAAAATGTACAGATGTGAAGTTATGGCAATAATAATAATAATAATAATAATAATAATAATAATAATAATAATAATAATAATAATAATACATATTAGATTTTTTCTAAACCACTAAACAGCATTCTTTTCTCTTACAACTTCCAAGAAAATTTGGAAGCAAACAGAAGCAATACAAAGACAATGAATCCAACATCTTACAGTTTCCATTCATCAATGATTAATTAAGATCTGCTCTTAATTTTGCTGTTTACCTTGTATATTTGTTTGGAAATGCAAAAACAGCAGTCACTAATGTTACTACCAAGACCTGAAAAATGAAGAAGAATTTTAAGTCTTTTCCATTAAATCATTAATTTATCTAAAATTTCATTTTCATTTACATTATTTCTAGTCAATTACAATCAAACAACTCAAACATTAAATTAAATGTCAGATGGCAGAAGAAATGTACACAAGAGTGCTGTATCTATCAAACATTATAAATAAAGGAAAAAAGGCCAAAAAGAAAGGATTAAGATCAAGTGAATTGGTAACACATTTGAGACAGCAAAATTGATGTATTTTACAGAACCAAATAAAAACTTTCAGGGTACAAACTTCTCACCTCCGTAATGGGCCACTGGCCCAGTTTGGTGGTTTTCCTCTTTCTACACCACCACACATTGGCTTTGACAAATAATGCACCAAATAACCCCTGGAAACAAATCAGTTTGGATTGTGAAGGTTCTAGTACCAGAAAGCAGAGTGCCACTGGTGCAAGTGTAAGCCTACAGAAATGCATGTTCAACACCAATAACCAATACCTGCTGTAACATACATTACGAAGGGCAGAGACCCATACTTGCAGCAGTGACGTCAACATCACCTGCTTTTCCCTTTAACAAGCCCTAAAGTAATTACTGTATAAAATTATGCAAATTACTAGAAAGGATCAATTTATTCACTTAAAGTCAACAACAAGTAACAGTGCATTTTAAGACAGAGTTCAATGCAAAACACTTAAGATGCTATACATGGAGGGCAGGCTGGAATACTTACCCCTAAAGCTCCTATCAATATGAAAGGTATGAGTTCCACTATATGCCAGGGAGTATTATACTCCACATAGAACATCACCAGGTGGTCGTTACCAAACGGGTTGATGGAACGCAACACAAATGCTGCCACAAGAGCACAGAAGAAGGAACGCCAAAGTGTCTTCAGGGGGAAGTAATAACTCACCTGGAATGACAATTTTTTTTACATCTATGAAGAATTTCACTAATTCAAAAATGTTTTAGCAGATTCAATAGGACTTGTGTCTTTAAAGAATATTATCTGCTTACTGTTCCCAGATAATAAAATTGTTGAGTATTAATGACTTAAAAGTTTGCCTTCTTTTATCAATTATTACTTGATGTTCCAAAAATCAAATGCAAGTTGTAGGCTATGGAAACAAACCATTACTTCCACTTTCAGTTTTATGACTCTTTTCTACAAGTACCTGTTATAGTGTATAACCAATATTCTTACCTCCTCTAAACTGAAGAGTACTCCACCAATAGGGGCACCAAAAGCAACACTGACTCCTGCCGCAGATGCCGCAGATAAAATCTGGAAAATGGAAACAAAAAATGTTGTTGTTGTAAAGAAAAGGGATTACTTTACTGTATGCAAATGTGCTCATAAATCATACTTTTTGTGAAGGAAACTCATATTTTTCAACAAAAACTTTGTCCATTCCAAACTAAATACATTTCTCTTTTTTCTAGGAGGTGCTACATACACAGGACACAATCATACTTCCTACAAAATCACTGCCCATTCTTTAGAAAGAAAGAAAGAAAGAAAGGAAAATCACCTCTCTTTTCTTGGCCTCATTCTTGCCATACTTTGGGAACATATAAGAGAAGATATTTCCACAGCAGCTGGCCACATGAACCAGGGGTCCCTCCTTCCCCAGACTAAGTCCTGCTGATACTGCCAGCATCATACACACTGACTTGATGATCAACGTCCATTTACCCAGGTAACCACGGATGATGAAACCACTCAGGATCGTCTTGATCTGGACAAAATGTATGAAAATATGGTTAAATACATTATACATCTGTTTATTATTGTTTAATAAGTTTATATTTTGTAATAAGGCTATCATACACACCTGTATCTTTATAATTGTATTTAAGTTGTAATGCAATTTTACTTTGATTAGCATTCTGATAGTTGTGGAATACCAGAAATGACATTTTAGGTTGCTTAATGTCACTAATTTTTCAGGTAGTAAAATCATTTATTACAGAAATACACGAAAAGTATACATGTTCATACAACCTTACCTCAGGAATACCAGAGCCACAAGCATACGGCGCAAACACACGCACCAGCATCACGGCCAATGTGGCAAACACCATGGACCAGATGACGTACATGATGTAGGTGAGGATGTACACCCCAGGGTTATAGTTGGGGGCAAAATCTCCAAACAGTTCAGCCCACGTCCGCCACTGGGGAAAAAAATTAAATTTTAAGGTATTTGCAGCCCATTTTCTAGATAAAACTTATTATTATTGACAGGAAGTCATGAAATCTTTGTTTTTCCAGCTATGTCCGTCTTGCTTTCATCCAAGTCAAAATCCTTTTATGTTGACTGCATTTTTTTCTTTATTGGATGAAATTTGATTATTTCTGTCCTTTGTAAATTGATGAAAATCATGGAATTACCAATTTTTTTGTAATTTACTCATTTAATGCAACTCAATTTGTAGCTTGAGAAAAAAAGGAACAAGCATATTACTTATCAAATCTACAGTACTGGCTGTTGACCAGGCCTGTAGCCAACAATTTCAAAGGGAGGGGGGGGGGCTGACTTTTCTGAAAGAGTGAACCTTTCTACCTTCCCAGATGACACAATTAGATAGAACCTACATCCAACCAAAAGTGGGGTTCATTTGGACTCCCCCCTCCCCTGAAACATCCAAATATTCTGCCAATGAGCCTGCTGACAGTTATTAATTAAGTCCGTACCCTGTCACACGCCTCGTCTCCATCTGTAGATGAGTTAGCCGCCCAGCAGCACTGTTCTCTGTTAAACCAGAATTCTTCAAGACAGATACCATTCCTCAGATCAGACATCCACGTTGTTCCTATGTCTATTATACCAGCAAAGGTGCCTGGAGAAAGTTTTATATTAAATTAATATCTAGCTGATTTCATGTAGCCTGTATGTACAGGGTCTCATGCTATTGAGCTCATGTTTTCCCATACAATTATCAGTTTTTAATTGGAAAAATCAATAATTGCTTAATATCTGCTTTTAATTAAGATGAAAAATCTGAATAAAGTTAACATCTCTCTTTTTCACACTGAACTAAATACAGCCAGCCTTTGAAACAATGAAACAAAAAACTCTAGAATTACCATAAACTTTCAGTTTACTTCTAATATTCTCATGTGTTTAAAGAACTTATTTGTTCATTTTCATAATTATATCTGCAACGATTGGTGCACTATATAAAACAAACAAACAAACAAACCTGCGGCAATTCCCACAAGGAACACACACAGCCATCCAGAGCCAGCATCATATGCTCCTTTGATCTTATCAAGAAAACCCTCCTGTTTCTTCTTCTCGATATTCCGGTGGCGCAGCCTGTCCCGCGTGATGTCCCTCTGCCAGTCGATGGTGTGGAAGTCATCATACTGACCGACACCAGGGGGCAGGTCATCTCCACCTGAGGAGTCTAGGAGATTTGTACTTCCTGGAAAAGATGAGAAAAGAATATCGTAAATAAGAGGGTCATTTCACTTAAATCCAATCACTGACATTTGAAAAGGAGTTCATTTTTAGTGACATGCACCAAAGACTTAGACAGTGAGATCTCTGAGCTAGAACTTGGAAGTCTCTACTTAAAAATCATAATAAATACACATTTTAACCCTGCCACCTCACCTGTTTTATACTATTCAGGGATACCAATATCTGAATTATAACTGTTACAATTACTTTAATCTCTTATAATTAATACATTTTCTGTATAAGGCAACAGTAAACCATCAGCTGTGAAGAAATATATAGCATTCAACTGAACCACCAACCAACCAATGGGCTGCCCTACCCTAACTACTACCACTAGAAATGTTATCAAAACCCATGTGCATGTGATTTACTAATTTTTACATCTATCATTGAATAATTGCAAAAAATAACATTTTTTGAGCCTAGGAAAAATATGAAGATAGCTTTGAGGGTTAATCTCCATTACCACGGTATCTTGATATGATCAATTTTTTCAGCTTGACACAGTCAGAGGAAAGACTTGATTTGCATTTGGCAGTGAAAGGATGGATCAATAAGTAATTGTTTTCAGTTAAACTGGGTTATCATCTTTATTATGCCCAGAATTTAAAAAAATAATTTTTAAAACTCTAAATTTGTAAATGAGCATTTAATTTTTGAATCAATTCTTAAATTTGTAAACAATCATATCATTTTTCTTTTTTTCAGGTTGTCTACATCATCAACAATACCTCACTTTTTTTTGTTAATATCATCTAATGCATTACATCAGTCAAACATCAAGTTGCACAATCAAATAAAACAGTATGCCTAAAGTGGAAAAGGCCAAATCTAAGTTCCCAGCCAAGGAAACCAAACAACAGGTGAGAAAAAGACTCAAATCACTGGCAATCAAGTTATCCACTAGCCATTTTTCAGGATTTCTGGTTTCTAGGACATACTAGTTGTCTTTCTGAGGGTATACATCAATTTGTGCTTGTCAATTGTTCATATTTTGACACATCATTAAAAAGATTTTTTGTTCTGCTATTTATTTTAAAATTATTTAAGTTCTGAATCAAGATGTCACACCGGACCCTTGATTGCAGGTGATCTGAAGTCAGAAAATCATACATTTTCATTTCAGGAAAATGGCCCAAAAACTGAACTGTAAACTAATCCAAACACAGATTTTAATACCCAAACCCAAAGAAGTTTAACACAGTTCACAAACCTAACCTCTGAGTTTAACTTGACGTTTGTGTGATACAGCACAAGTCATGGCAGCAGTTTTAGTTCCTAAAGAAAATTTATTCCTGAGAGTGTCAATCTCCAGCAGTTCTTCATCGGAGCTGCTATCACCACCATGAAGAAAGTTTGGGTTCACATATGTTTGAGACTGCACTAGACAATATAGGAGAAAAGTTTGTTGAAGTTTATCATTTTAATTTTTTTTTTTTTTTTNTCTGAATCAAGATGTCACACCGGACCCTTGATTGCAGGTGATCTGAAGTCAGAAAATCATACATTTTCATTTCAGGAAAATGGCCCAAAAACTGAACTGTAAACTAATCCAAACACAGATTTTAATACCCAAACCCAAAGAAGTTTAACACAGTTCACAAACCTAACCTCTGAGTTTAACTTGACGTTTGTGTGATACAGCACAAGTCATGGCAGCAGTTTTAGTTCCTAAAGAAAATTTATTCCTGAGAGTGTCAATCTCCAGCAGTTCTTCATCGGAGCTGCTATCACCACCATGAAGAAAGTTTGGGTTCACATATGTTTGAGACTGCACTAGACAATATAGGAGAAAAGTTTGTTGAAGTTTATCATTTTAATTTTTTTTTTTTTTTTTTTTTTGTAAAAAAAAAACATGCAATGAATCATTGACTTCATCACTGTCACAAAAACAATTCTTAATATCTTATTATCCTTATTTTATTTGTAAAAAAATTCTAGTAAAAAGGAATTTTGATCCATGAACAATTTCAATAATTTTTTCTGTTCAGCTCGTTCACAATGCATGAATATCTGAGTAATTTACTTCTAGTCGCAATTTTTCATTTTTCAAATAATTTGCAAGGGAAAGGCTGTCAGCTTAGGGATTTTTTTCTATAAAAGCAGGTTTAATTTTTTGTTCATATTATGAGGGAAACAAAGGTAGAATTTTTTAATCAGGATCATATAAGAAGAGGATTAATGACATTCTGAGATAGATTTTAGCAATTTTACATCAAAAAGTAATTAATCTTTCTCTGATATTATCTTGACTATAACAAATCACCAGGTCTCATAGGATTACCCCTGTGGAGTGAGATTTATAAATCAGTAAAACCCTGTTGTGGAAAAGGAAAAGCCATCATGTCAACTACACCTTCCATTCTGATCAGATTTCATTTTGTTTCAAATATTTTGGTCTTATCGCCAGATATGTCACAGCCACTGAGTCTAACTGGTCACCAAGGATAAAATTCCAAGGAATATAGCCAATAGGAAATAGTGTTCAGCCTGTCTAAGTGACTGGCAACAGCTTTAAAAGCCACTATTATCCACCAGATCGGCAAAAAGTTGACTCTCTTACTTAAGAACTAGGGTATTAATTTATCAGAAAACAGCTCTATGTACAAAAGGGCTTCACTTGGCATAATTAAAAGGTGGAAATCACCTGGAATTCACTGTGCCATGACCTATAAAGAATTTTGACATGCACTGCCATGGTTACTGATTAGTGACGAATGACACACTGATTGCAGTAAATTTCCCGGCTAGAACAGTCCTCAGAGTAAACGTGGTTAACACTGCTATTTGCACTCTGAACCAGATCGCAAGGTAACTTGCACTCATTGTTATATACGTTTTAAATTCATGAAGAATATCCTGTCAATTTAACGTCATTTCCCGTACTGAAACATTCAGAAACAGACCACCACTCCGAGCTGTTGTTTTATATGGACATTAAATACATTAGGGACTTCCTCTCAGAGTCTATTAGAAAAGATATTGATTTTTGTCTCAAGGTTAATCAAGTGTGCATCTTTCTCACTGACAGAAATAATCATAGCTGCTTTCAGTGAAGCATAAGTATCTTGCCAAGAATATATCCATTTATACCACAGATGATTCCAAGATTAAAGATTCAAATGTGGTGTATCCTGCACACTTGTACATCATGGTCTTTCGTTCTTGATATTTTTCATATTAAAATTTCCTAAGTACTGTGTTTTGTACACTTACATATCCCATACACCTCACTGACTTAAGCTACTTTTTCGGTCTAAAGGTCTCCTTGTCTGACCACACATCAATAAGAAGCAATCATGGTGCACATGACAGAGGCCTCTCCGCACTGTAGATGTTTCAATTTACTCCTAGAATATCTCAATTACATCTCTCCCCTTTATTGACTTGCTTCAAAATGCCTACTACTAGTAGATTGACTACGTATTCAACAACAGAAACTTAACAAAGAGACAAACAGAACTGGGAGTATTCTATAGGTTGTAGCTTCAATATTTTATCAGCAAAGGTTTGAAACCATAAGACAAATTCTATTAGAGATATTCTAGAAGTTGCCACTTTAATATTTTATCAGCAAAGGTTTGAAACCATAAGCCATAAATTCTATTAGAGATATTCTAGAAGTTGCCACTTTAATATTTTATCAGCAAAGGTTTGAAACCATAAGCCATAAATTCTATTAGAGATATTCTAGAAGTTGCCACTTTAATATTTTATCAGCAAAGGTTTGAAACCATAAGCCATAAATTCTATTAGAGATATTCTAGAAGTTGCCACTTTAATATTTTATCAGCAAAGGTTTGAAACCATAAGCCATAAATTCTATTAGAGATATTCTAGAAGTTGCCACTTTAATATTTTATCAGCAAAGGTTTGAAACCATAAGCCATAAATTCTATTAGAGATATTCTAGAAGTTGCCACTTTAATATTTTATCAGCAAAGGTTTGAAACCATAAGCCATAAATTCTATTAGAGATATTCTAGAAGTTGCCACTTTAATATTTTATCAGCAAAGGTTTGAAACCATAAGCCATAAATTCTATTAGAGATATTCTAGAAGTTGCCACTTTAATATTTTATCAGCAAAGGTTTGAAACCATAAGCCATAAATTCTATTAGAGATATTCTAGAAGTTGCCACTTTAATATTTTATCAGCAAAGGTTTGAAACCATAAGCCATAAATTCTATTAGAGATATTCTAGAAGTTGCCACTTTAATATTTTATCAGCAAAGGTTTGAAACCATAAGCCATAAATTCTATTAGAGATATTCTAGAAGTTGCCACTTTAATATTTTATCAGCAAAGGTTTGAAACCATAAGCCATAAATTCTATTAGAGATATTCTAGAAGTTGCCACTTTAATATTTTATCAGCAAAGGTTTGAAACCATAAGCCATAAATTCTATTAGAGATATTCTAGAAGTTGCCACTTTAATATTTTATCAGCAAAGGTTTGAAACCATAAGCCATAAATTCTATTAGAGATATTCTAGAAGTTGCCACTTTAATATTTTATCAGCAAAGGTTTGAAACCATAAGCCATAAATTCTATTAGAGATATTCTAGAAGTTGCCACTTTAATATTTTATCAGCAAAGGTTTGAAACCATAAGCCATAAATTCTATTAGAGATATTCTAGAAGTTGCCACTTTAATATTTTATCAGCAAAGGTTTGAAACCATAGGACATAAATTCTATTAGAGGTATTCTAGAAGTTGCCACTTCAATATTTTATCAGTTAAACTGTTTAAACCATAAATACTAGTAGAGTTATTCTAGAGGCTGCTGCTTCAATATCTTTTAAGCAAAGGTTGGAAACACAAGAAGGTGGAGGGTTGACAGCTGCACCTTCCCCCCAGCTTCCTTATATGTTTTCATTTTTTTACCTATATAGATAGGAAATCTGTGCTTTCATGACTGGGTACTATGGTATTTCATGCTAAATATAAGCAAAGGTAATTATTAATGACAGATTGATATGGATTTAATATCAGTATACAGTATCTATCACTGACATGAAATTTTAAAGTATACGAAAACCCTGTATACATGACGATATATGTAAGCTTTTGGTAAAAAAATCATTGAAAACTTAACCAACAAGTAGTCACCTCTTACATTAAACCTTATTACGACTAATATAATGTCAAGAACTTTACATTAGCACTAGCCACATGTAATGATATTTGAACTATGATTAATAGCAGATGTCTAACAAACAAGAGTCAACCCCAATCTAGCACCACCACCAAATTCAACACATCTTGGAACCTGATGATGTATTCACAAATGGACATACTTTGGTCAGGAAATGACCCAACTATGTCAAAAAGCCAACATTTACCAAGGAAACTTGAAATCCCATCACATAAAACAACCTGATGATATCAGCATGACTGGCATCAGGTGACTTAGTCTTACAGTGAACTCTTTCCATTACAAAAACCATACAGACACATACTGATACATGACACAGCTATTATTATTATATTATAGCAGTAACAAGTATATTATATTATAGCAGTAACAAGTATATTATTTTATAGCAGTAACAAGTATATTATATTATAGCAGTAACAAGTTACCATCTGTGAAATTACAAAGTTAAATAAAGAAATTAAAATCATAAGTTAGGGACACTTGTTTAAAAAATTCCTGGTTTAATTTCAAAGTTCTAGATACCAATCTGACAACATGCTAATGGATTTAACATTAAAATTTTCAAACCCCACAGTATATAGCAAATATACAAACCACCTTCTGATGAATCTTACCATATCCCCTGAGTCCTCTTCCCTGTAGCTGATATGACAATGACCGTGACAGACTCATTGTCACACTCTACTGAGAAACTGAACATCTATCTTACACCGAGTCTCCTGACCATTTAAAATAGCAGTAGTTTTCCATAAGATCTGTAGTCTTTAACATAGCATCTGCAGTGAACAGGTCACTGTATAAGAAAAGACATCTTCCATATACTCTCTAGTCTCTTTTCTACAGCAGCAGTCACTTGTATATAGCACTGAGCTTGTCTATTACACAGTCTTTGGTCCTTTGCACAGTTTCTTTATGTATGATATAAATATCTAATCTCTGATCTCTTGCATTAGGTCTCAAGTCTCACACAGAAAGTCCAGTGACCAGGTCACTTCATCTTCTCAATGACTGGTGAAAACTCCACCAAATGCTACACTAGACACTGTAAAGCCCCAGCAGCATATGGAGTCAAAAAAAACTTCACCGTATGATTACATATCCATGGTCAATTGAACCCTGACATTCTCCAGCAGAAGTCATAATACAATGGAAATGCCTGGCTGAACTTGGAAGCATTCCAAGTAACCCTCACTGTCACAAGCAGCTTACCACTGCAGCTTACCACTGCCAGAAGATTGTGAATTATATATATATGTTCATATCAACAGGAATCAAACCTCTTAAACAGGTATAGTGGAAAGTGGGCTATATAGTATATGTCTACCTCTGGGATAATTTAACTGAAAATGTGTTATTTATGTAAAGGTGTGCTGGAGTTGTGTCAGGGGGACACATTTTAGATAAAAAGACCAGTGCGGGCAACTAATTTATCTGTCACTGAACTTCATGGTCCTCTTAGAAGTCAACTGGTGCTTGTGACAATCAAATTTAGTCACAACTGGGTGCTTGTCATAATAATGTCATTGGGTGATCTGAATTTTACTGAACTTTCACCCATTTAACAAATTGCCCCCATTGTTGTGTGTTGAGGGTATTATTGGTGAACTGAGGGGGGCTCACGGCTTTGAAAATTGCATGTTTGGTTTACACCGCATGTTTTTATAGAAGTTTGATAATCATTTTTTTCGTTATGCTTTTCGTGACCTTATCCTGATTTCGTGCTGTCATACCTTTGAGATTATAGAAATAATCTAACCAACCAATATCTTGTATTAATGTTTATTTATCCCAGCATAGGGTAATTTGTGCTTTTCACAGAGGTACTGTGTCATCCCCACCCAACCCCCCAAAAAAGAATAAAATAAAATAGTTAATAAATAAAAACAACTAAAATAAAAATTAATTATTGATACATAAACAGTTTCACCAGAATGACAATGTGTTGAAATCTTTAAAACTTAGTTTTTGCTAAATAAAACCAAAGGAATATGCCTCACCAGCCTCCAGCAGTTTTCAGGAAAAAAAGCAGTTTCTCATTGCACTCTGTATGGCAATAACTAGCTAGTTTGCAATATGTTACTTCTACATGTCAGCTCCTATTATTCTGACAGGCATTTTTCCTCATCCTGGCTCAGGCTGGCAAACAGATTTTACATTTTTGATAGTAAAATTTTTTTTGGCAAAAATTTTTTTTTTTTTTTTGATAAGTAGAATCAAAATGAGCAGTGGTCATGGGCTCGTAGACAAAATCTTTTTTTCCTTGCAGAATGGAGCTAAATTATAATCAAATATATAAATTTACCTTGCATTATTTACTTGGATAAGAAAGTTGTGTATATTATATATGCAAATGCCAACAGACATTCATCCTTGGGTTAGATGACCTTCTAAATAATACAATATGTTTTTTTTTCCCTGAGATATTTCCTCTCTGACAAGAATAGATTCTATTTCTGACACACATGTTCTAGTAAACATTCAACAGGTCCATATGACTGAAAATAACGAGATACATAACACAATACCTCTAACACTCCACTGACCCCTGTGTCTACTGGTCATTTTATTCCTTCCAGCGTTAACATGTGCCCCATCTATACTGGTCACATGTGCCTGAACGTCCATGTCAGGACTGTCCAGAGCGTGTCCTCGTCCTGTACTGACATCATGAGGACCGTCCTCACTGACCAATGCTGCAGTGTCCAAGCCACTGCTAACACTACTGATAGAAGGCATTTCCATTTCAGCCATTTAACACGTAGTTCTCCAAAAGTGGCCCAGACTGATAACAATCACAATGACCATCCAGTCATCATCTCTGACAGTTATCTAGATTCCATATATTGTAATAAGCACTGGGTTTAATATCCATATTTACTTCTGTCAAAATCTGCTGTGGGTGTTATCCATGTTTTAAGCAGTTTCAAATGTGATTCCCCTTCTGTGCAATACAAATTATGTTCCTTTCCATGTGCCACACCCCCTTCTAAAACCTACTATTCACCAGTGACTGGTACCAGCTTCAACCTCCAATGGGAAGTACCTGATACTGTGCCCCACAAATACATGTACAGTACACACCCCTCTAATTAAACAATGCACCAGATAACAGATCAATTCAATGTTAAGGTTAAATTTTACCCTTTATCTGTTTCAGATATTGTATTGGGCAGTTCATCAAAATTTAGGTCGAATATGATGTCATCTGTGCAAACTGGTGGTAATACAGCTCGATGTTTGCCTTGAAGGTCGTCAATACAAGATGCTCCAGATGCTGACTTTTAGTGTTACTCAGGGTGAAGCCATTCTCTCATGACAACTGCCACTACTTCAGTGAAAACCATCACCTAAATTCAGGACACTATTGTTTTTTCCAATTCACTGCAATGAATCCTTATAGGAAATTCTGCATAGAATCTGTGCCAATATATTAACTCTGTATTGAAGAAACTGCACATATTTCTCTGTGTCTATCAGATTCTGTTCATAAACCAACTGCCTATGCATATAAAGCTAGATCCAAAGGTAGATTCTACAAAGTCAAGCATGTTACAATAAACAGATCCCTGCATGTGCTTAGTGGGTCCAAAATTCCAAATATGCCTCGCAATATAGTAGCATATGCCACAAGTAAGTTGTTCACTGTACAGCTGACCTGCTTCCAGCTTGTACTCTGTTATTTAAGTCAACTAAATTGGAAACCTTTTATTCACAAGTTCCTATTTACATTTAGCCTACCTCATTGAAATTCACACACTCTCCCCTTAAATGGCTACCTCAAGTATGCTAATATTCTTTTGACTGAACACTTGCTGCAAACAAAAAAATAACACCTGCCCAAAAGTCTAGACCACGGCATGTGAGCATGTAAATTCGTACATACGTGTGTGTGCACTCATGCATGCATGTCCATGATGTGCATGAGTGACAATGTGCGATTTATTGACTGAATCAAATGCAAACAGCGCATAATTAGATATATGTGTAATAAGTTATATTCACCCTATTTAAACATGGATACAACGAATATGAAAGAAAGCAGATGACCAGTCAAGATTCACCTCTGAAGAAGGGAGTGGGTAAGAAATAATTTTCAATTTTTATTTCTTCAGGAACAAGTTCTACAAAATCATACTGAAAACAGCCAGTAACCATTTACTAAGTAAGGTAATGATTTGAATAATGAAGCTATGGCATTCATTTTAAATTAAGCATTTTGGTTTCATTTTCTTGTAATTTATGGCTTTAAGGAAACACCATTCCTACTGATCAAGAGATTTGAAAGTGTGAGCATCATATGATCCTGAGAATGTGACCACTACTTAATCAGGGTGGGTTGGTGGATGAATCTTTTTTTTTTTTTAATTCACACACAAATTGCTTCACAGTGAAATATACCATAAAATCATTAAAAATTATTTTAAAAATTAATAATGCTTGATGGCTGTGCAATTTCGACTAATTGGTTCCAATTTTGACATATCATAATCTGCATTTCAATTTTAAAACTTTAATAAACACATGCAAAATGTATATTTTTGGATGGTAAAAATAAGAAAATACTGCAAAGTATCAAAATACATATAGAATGTGAAATTATATACAGATAAAAAATTTTGTTAAATTAACTAAATTTAAAGTAAATAAATAAATACATTAATGGGCCAATCATATTTAAAATTCATGAAAATGTTTGAATAAAAAGTAAAACATTAATATATAGCTTTAAACATGTCAGATTCACACCCACAAGCCGATTCCAGTCTCAAATACCTCAACGGAATGCGGACCTACCTCGTGACTTGTCAACCACTTTGCTGAGGTCTTCATGTGCATTTGTCGTAATATCAATCATGGCTTCATCGTCGTCGTAACTTTCAAGGCGTTCAATGCTGTCAGTGTAGGTTACGTCTCCATTCTTGGCAGTCAGGGCTCTATAACGGGCGTTAGAGGGGGGCCTGGGGGGTTGCTCATTCAGAAGAAAGTCTGTTTCCATTAGATGCGTCATGGGCCATTGAAGGAATTTCCAGACTCTGTGCTGTTATTCTTGTACAATGATGGGATGATTTCAAAGTTTAATAATTCTCAGTGATGTTCCTCTGTATGAATTTAGCTACACTTGTATAATAACCACAGATATAAACTTCATTCAATTGTAGTTCCAAACTTAGAATCCTTCCTGTAAAAATTAAATTTTTATTCATTTTGTATTGTAATAAAAATATGTAGTTTAATAATTAAATGATTAATAATCTAAGGAAATAGCAATCCAATCAATTGAAAGAATTATTTATTTATAATAAACAGCTTAAAAACATAATATTTAATTTTTTGCCACGTATAAATAATTTTGTCCCCAGCACTGTTTTTCAAATTGTACATACAAGGAAGCTATCCTCTATTGCACCACATAAATTTTCCTTGACAACAAAAGACAATTTTTCTGCTCACAAACCACTGCTTAACTGGTCCCTGCACTTGAATACAATGTTTTGTAACATATCTAATTTAAAACAAGGCAGCAAAGCTGTCAAATGTACAGACAAAGAACAGAAAATAAAGATGCAAATAAGTGAAAAATTAAATTTCCACNGTAAAAGTGCACGGCGACGGCGACGACGGCGATGACGGCGACGGCGACGACAGACGCAGATGATGGCTATATGTACAGACACATCTGTGTCTGTACATAAAAAATTAATTTGAAATGGCAGGAAAGCCTTTAAGACTGCCATGTCTTCTTGTACATTTCAGAAGGGAAATACTGACATCAGATGCTTTTCTTGGGAGGAGGGGGGAGGGTATTACAGGGTACTATCATTTTTAAAAGTCTGAATTGGGAAAAATAAGTACATGTAAGTTTGCAGGCTATGTAGTCATAAAGGTATAACTTTGCGGCATTTCAAATGTGTATAGCACATCTTTTAGCACACCACAAAGCATGTGATGGCTTGTACCAAGTACACAGTGTACACGAGGTCTTCTTACATAAAGGTGAATACAAAATAATAGTCATACCGTAATATCCTGTTTCTAATGTTCACTGCGGGGTCAGATCTATTTATATATAACATTCTGTACGTTGTACTAGAAATCTAGAATGTTAATGCTTCCACAGTCATAGACAACACATACAACACATGACTCTATTCTTGTATGATACCGCTAGTCATTTTTTCAAATTATATAAATTATAATTAAATTATAACGTTTATAGTTTGGGGCATGGCGTCAAAGGAATATTTAATATTTAATACCTGGTCATTTTTTATCAGCTGGAAACAGAGACTCGTTGGCGATAATGCTTACATCAAAATCTTGGGGACAAAAACGCGCCGTGACAATGACAGCTCAAAGATAAAGATTTAATGTCTGTCATGACAAGGATAATGTGCGTTACAGTATGACGCTGCCAGGAAGTCTTGGACACTGGCTAATTTTTTTTTCACATCACAGCTTCCAACTTACCTCAATCTGTGTCTCATGAAGCATAAAATATGCTGGATGGATAACTAGCAACAATACTCCTGATCACTATTTAATAATCCAGGGAAAAGCAAAGCTTATCTTTTCAATATCAACTTCGCAAGATCATCTTGTGATATGAACTATTACAGAACTGTAGGTGGCGCTAGCGGCTTTGCTAAATGATTGGACCCTTGAAAGCACATGGTTTGTATGACGAATTTTATCGAATAAATGAAAAAAATTTTAAGTTCAAAAATAATTCAGCTTTTGAATTTTGAGGAAAATTCAGACTTGTAAGGGCCTTTTCCTTTTCAAGATACGGAGATATCTGTCTTATAAATGAATCGCATTTGGGGGACCAATCAACCTCAACAGCATGGACGGGATGAAAGGGGAAGCGGCACACAACATTGATATTTCTAGTTCGCAAGCAGTCCACAACAAGCTAAAGTCCATTACAGAAAATTTGAAGAACGAGGAATTCAGATTTTCAATCGAGGAAGAAAATTTGAGATATGTGGTTTCAGTGATACAGAATTATGGTTCGTGGAAATGGACAAACTCATGGGAAGAAGGAACAGGGGAGAGTATCTGTTTGGCGTTGGACATTTTGACTGAAAGTTTTCGAGCTCTGAGAAACGCCTGCGCAGGATGCCCAAGAAATCAGCTGTTTCTAGATTCTAGCGGTGCATATGTACCGGCCCGCTCAGTTGTTTCGGAACTGCAGAACCTGTTGCAGAATGAAGAACTTGTCCAAAAGTTTGATTTGAAGCATCGAATCGTTCTTGGTTTGCGTTGTGCCACGCAGTTTCTCGGCAATCTTATCACAGGGCAGCATGAGATAGCAAGTCACGTGTATGAACTGATGAGAGACGATTTTGTTTATTTATTTAGTATTGATGACACACAGTTATTGAACTACACAAGTAGGGTAATTCACAGTTGCCTTAAAGCAAAGGTTCCTTTTGATGACAGGATTGTTTCCTGCATTGAAAGTGTGCTTGGTCACCTATACCACTATGACTTAGAATGGGGCATGTTTTTCATTGGAGAGCTTTTAAATTCAGATTCTGGTTTTGAGGAAGTGTTTCCAAAGCTTTCAACAAAATCCCAGTCTTCTTTATTGGACATTTGTTTGGCACATTTAAAAGACAGTCAAGAAGATAAACCTCGAGTCATTTCCATGTCAAATCTGGGATACATGAGTTCAGTTTTCCAAACCAAGGCACACATGATCCTAGGTTTTCATAACCAGGATGGCAATGTCTCCTTGCAGCCTATCAATCTGCTGTGTATACTTGATATTCTCTGCACAGCCCTTTCATTTCCACAGTTGTACAAGGAGTTACGAGAAGATGGAGATCTCGTGAAATGCTGTGTAAATCTTCTTCACGGTGCTTACATGATTGGGCAGCAAGGGGACAATGCATTTTCATCAGTTGAAAAACTTGGAGCTGCAGCACACGTGGATCCAGAACACCCCTCCTATGGTTTAAAAAGGGATTTGATTCGGTTAATTGGCAACATGTGTTACGGCCACAAACTAAACCAAGACAAGGTACGGGAATTGGGCGGCATCCAGCTCATCCTTAATCACACAAATATTGACAAAAGGAACCCCTTTATGCCACAGTGGGCTATTCTGGCAATTAAACACCTGTGTGAAAATAACAGAGAAAACCAGGCAATAATTTCAGGAATGAAGTTGGAAGGTGTGGCCAACCAGGACACGTTGCTTGAAGAGCTGGGGGTAGAAACTGAAGTCAGAGATGGCAAGGTCTATGTCAAGCAAATGAAAAAATTATAAAAGTGGAACTTGAATATGGTGCAAATGTGTTTTTAAAGGCTTCTAATTTGGTGTAAATTAAGTAAAGGGTGATTTATCGTGTTCAGGGTATATTTTATATCATTATACAAAGTATTGTTAAATATAAAAGAATCAATCCTTTTCTGTGATACCACTGAGGATATCTCTGTAATCAAGAAACAAAAAAACATTTGACTTTGAATGTACAGTTGCTGCATTGTAAGATTAAATTGTAGAAGTGCAATGTCATAAGTTATAATACTGTTACATCCATTAGTTCTTCGTATGCATCACTGTCCCAGTTGTCAAAACTAAAATTCGTTTTTAAGTAACAGTGTATTTAATTAAATTGACTGTGTCAAATTTTCAGGTAAAATAATATTAATAATATATATTCTAAAAAATAAAAGTCAGTGTGGAATGCAGTAATGATTGTTTTAGGGAGCATTTAGATGGACCATACTAATTAGGATTGTCCAATTCCATGTGGGCTCTGCCTAAGTGCAATCAGCTGAAGTGAATAACACTCTTCCTCGATCAGCTACAGGGTACTTGTATCAGGGTTACTTCCCAGTAGTTGCTCCAGTAGGCGTGTCAGACAATTCAGCTGAATCCACTGGTAACACTTAGCAAGAAACCCTTCACAGAGTTGGACTGACCCAACTTGCACAATGTGTCTGTTTAGATTGGTTGTTAATCACAAGTGCACACAATACTAAACCTGTAAATGCAAAAACCTTTGAAAAAGAAAATAATAACTGTACAAGTACACAATTGATTAAATTCTAAAAAAAATTGCACAAATTGTAAAGCATTCTTGTTACAAGTGTTTTTTCGATTTTGATAAAATGGTTGCACATCCCTTTTTTACTCAAATGTCTATTGGTTTTTCAACTTGTTTTTTCCTAACAAGATTTTGTGTCACTTCTCATGATTTTATAAACCTGAAGACTTCAATAAAAGTTCTCTTACTTAACCAAAATTGAAGATGAAATTGTTTTTGAATATGAACAGGACAATAGCACTTCACTCGTTTATTCACAACTCGGTCTTAGGCATTGTACAAGTCATTTTCAACCAGTGTGGTGCTCGAAGTATAATCGTCTTCGACCCCTCTATCATATATGTCGTTCTCTACCATTACGACATTACTTGGGTCTGGAGCAGTTTGTTTTTGTTGCGCTGTGTTTGTGTCAGATTCAATGATCGAGAAGTATTCATTTTCTCCAGTTTTTATTGTTGGATTCTCTAATTCATACAAGGCATCATATCTGTCGCTAATAGAATCTTGATCCTGTCGTGCAGGTTTGTAAACTTTTGTGTAAGAATCGTCTATATTTTGGCTGGGGCTACGATCTTGGTTCTTACTGGGAGTTGGCAACTCTGCAGTAGCTTTGTTCCCGCTTTCTGTGGCGTGCATCTGCTCGAGGCAAATTTCATTGGAGTATATGGACTGCTCAAAAGCGGCGCCGGACGGATGTTGGGAATTGGTAAATTTTGCACCTGAATGTTTATCTTCGGAATTTTGCACCAACCTGTAAAAGAAATAAGAGAAAGCACCAACTTAGGTTTTATTATTTTTTACGTACATGTATATAAAACTCTGGGAACAACTAAACACTTATTAAACCCTTTTTTTAAAATTTACAATGTATTTTCTGATGGGTTTGACATATAATCGTCGTTTCTAATATTGTTATAGCCAACAAATACATTTTTGTTCAGTTTTGTTACATTTATTGAATGAAAATTGGTATTTTAATTAAAATCGTAGAAGTTAAACAAATTTTCATGAAGCAATTATCTGATGAATTGTTACCGAATTGTTTGGATCTACTATAATTTGTAACGTTACAGATGATTCTTTATCACTTCGTAAAGCCTAGTTTTCAATACATTGGGTCTTAGACGAGCGTTACTTGCCTTCTTCTAATTAAGAACACAGCTATTATAATTCCGATAACAACGAGAACTCCCATCGTCGATGCTATTGCAGCCGTTTGAATATCAGCTTTCATACTTTCTGCTTCTTTTGATGCTGAAACGAAAAATCATCACGTTCAGTTTGTTTCCTAAAATAAAAAAGTACACAGACAAAACGTAATGCTGAATCACAGATACCAAGTGCTTGAAATATTGACGTTCACGTTTCATATCAAGAAAGTTCAATTAATTTCCTAAGTTACCAAAACGCAACACGCCCATTCAGAAGGTTGAATTTAGTAAACCTTAATAATAATAATAATAATAATAATAATAATAAATGAAAAATCGATAAAGTTTGGTAATACTGATCTCACGAGAGACACTGCTTTGTATACTTACCTGGCATTACACAACTGAGTGACGTGCCCGACCACGCTGTCTCTGACAAGCAAGTTCTTGTTTGGTTTCCAGCTAATGGAACAAAGCCTTTCAAACATTGGTATGTTATGCTACTACCAACTGGATAATATTCATCTTCCGATGACGCTACTGAATTACTTCCCGAGCTCGGAAACTGGCAACCTGAGAAACAGTTATAATATGGTGATAAAAGGTAAAATTTAGGAAGATAATGGTTTTAATTCTGCAATAATAAGGGATTGCACATTATAAGAAGTAAACTGAAATACGCATCTTCGAAACGCAACACAAATAATTTCATTATATCAATATGGTTTAAAAATTAACACTTTAATACCTGTGCACAACATGATGATATTCACTATCTATAACATCATATTGCATTTGAACTTGAATGTCAAATTCTTAACATCGGGCGTTAGCTGATACATACAGGGTTGGTACTTAATATGGAATATTTTTTATCATTGTTATTTTTGAGTGCTGATTAATTTTTTTTTGGCTTGAGTCATTAAAAAAGTATGTCACTGAGTGATAATAACATCCAGTCTTCTGTTGTGAGATATTTTGGTCAATAATATTAAATCTGACATAAGATGCCATTCAAAAGAAAGGAACACCCCCAGAAAACCATATCAACAGTTTGATGTCAGTATAAACTTTAAGATAAGATATTAAAGAAAATGGTAGCCTCCGGACAGTGATATGTTACACAGTCAAAGAACTCACTACAGTAAATCATGAAAAGTCAGTTATTGCGGGTATGACCTCCAGCAGCCGCTTGCAGCGCCCTCATCCTACATGGCATACCCTGTGACACGTTTTTTAGAGTTTGGCTGGGGATATCATTCCACGCAGTGATATTTGCCTGTCGCAGGTCATCACTATTTACCGGCCGAGGACCATAGCTATTAATTCTGTGAGTTACTTCCGCCCACAGATTTTCAATTGGGTTCATATCTGGAGAGTTTGCAGGCCAGGGCAGTTGCTGAACCCATTGGTTTTGAAGAAAAACAGTGATTCTGCGGCCTCGATGTTGGGTTGCGCAGTCGTTTTGGTACACAAAGTTGTTCCTGAAGATGACTCTTACCAATCGAAGCATTGTTTGCTGTAGA